TACTCGCAACTGCTTTTCCAGGTTTGCTCCGAGATTTATTGAATTTCGAGTCCCGCCTGCGGTTGCCTTGGCAGGGCCACGCCAAATGATACTGGCGGGAACCTCCTGGTTACACCAGCCCACAGGGGATTATTGTGTCCGTTGTGCAGGGAGGGGATGGGTAGGGAGGGAAGGGCTGGGTGGGGAGGGTGGGAGGGGTGGGAGGGGTGGGGCTGGGTGGGGAGAGGGCTGGGTGGGGAGGGTGGGGCTGGGTGGGGGGTGGGAGGGGTGGGGCTAGGTGCAGAGGGGCTGGTCACCCCGTGGTTCCCTTATAAAACTCAACGTTTAACCTACTCACGCCGGCTTGTGCCCGCCCTCACAGTCGGGCATATTTGCGGAATACACCACGCCGCCGTTGACCCTGGCCCTTGACCGAGCAACCCGACGTTCCTACCAGCTCCCTCCGCAGGAGGAATGTGTTTCCGCGGGCCTCACACGGCCCGCGGGCCGGACGTTCCACACTCCTGTTCTAAGGACTCCGGCCGAGGTCAAGGCTCACTCCCGCGGCTGATCGGAGTCTTACCAGTGCAGCTCCCAGGACTTTGCAACGCTTTGCTAATAAGACAATCAGAATGGTTATGGAGAGATTTTTTTTAAGTCTTGCCTGCGTGAAATTGCCCCTTTTACACCCTCCGCCTAGTTCTGACCGTTGACCCCATGCAGGTTTTGTTTATTTCCCCCCCCCCCCGATTTCCATTACACGGTGGCAGAGGTCGCAAGCGGGTACCCGATACCCGTACCCTACCCGATACCCGGCTACCCGTACCCAGCCGGGTACGGGTACCCGTTTGCTACCCTGGTGCGGCCGGGTACGGGTACGGGTAGGCCGTGAGTCACCGTTTGTCACTCATTTCGGGTAGGATACGGGTAGGATACGGGTAGGGTACGGGTAGGGTACGGGTAGGGTACGGGTACGGGTAAGGAATCAAAACCCGTTTGCGACCTCTGCACGGTGGTGGTTGGTGGCACCTCGGGAACCTTGCGGATGAAATGCACCTTTGCCGATGTGAATTATTAAAACACATTCCTGCTGCGGAGGGAGCTGGTAGGAACACGTCGGGTTGCTCGGTCAATGGCCTGCAGGGTCAACGGCGGCGTGGTGTATTCCGCAAATATGCCCGACTGTGAGGGCGGGCACAAGCCGGCGTGAGTAGGTTAAACGTTGAGTTTTATAAGGGCACCACGGGGTGATCAGCCCCTCCCCACCCAGCCCCACCCAGCCCCTCCCCACCCAGCCCCTCCCCACCCTCCCCTTCCCACCCAGCCCCTCCCCTCCCAGCCCCACCCTTCCCACCCAGCCCCACTCTCCCCACCCAGCCCCTCCCCACCCTCCACACCCAGCCCCTCCCCACCCTCCACACCCAGCCCCACCCTTCCCACCCAGCCCCACCCTTCCCACCCAGCCCCTCCCCACCCAGCCTCACCCTCCCTACCCAGCCCCTCCCCACCCAACCCCACCCAGCCCCACCCTCCCCACCCCACCCAGCCCCTCTCCACCCAGCCCCTCCCTCCCCACCCCACCCAGCCCCTCTCCACCCAGCCCCTCCCTCCCCACCCTCCCCACCCCACCCAGCCCCTCTCCACCCAGCCCCTCCCTCCCCACCCTCCCCACCCCACCCAGCCCCTCTCCACCCAGCCCCTCCCTCCCCACCCCACCCAGCCCCTCTCCACCCAGCCCCTCCCTCCCCACCCCACCCAGCCCCTCCCCACCCCACCCAGCCCCTCCCTCCCCACCCAGCACCATCTCGAAATGTGTTTGAAGGCGCAAATGGTAATCCGCGTGTGGTGTCTTTATTTTTCAATCGGTACAACAGCCAAAGCGTCGGTTAATGTACAGATAGAGTACAATTAAAAGCCTCGATTTAAAGCTTTCGTGACTGCAGGGATTCATTTTCTTGGGTTATTTCGGTAACGTCACGTAGAAGGGAAATCATAATATAATAAAAACATAATAAAATTCTCACGACGTTTCGATTGCAACACAAGCAAATCATCGTCGTGAGAATTTTATTGTTTCATGTTTATTATTTCCCTTCTACGTGACTTTACCGAAATAACCAAGAATATAGATTAAAAACCTGTCGTGTTTACGGTAAGTGCAACAACAAAAAATTAACCCGTAAAAACAAAGTTTTTCACTATAAATCCTTTATATGCGTGGCGGCTAGAGTCCTCTCGTCCTCTGGCTTGAGATGGCTGCCACCTATGGGTCAGATGATTGCCTGCCACCATTAAGCAATTGGTAATTAAATATTATTATTTTTTTCCTAGAAAGTGTAACATTTTGGAGAAAAAATTTTCACGAAAATAAATTGTCACGCACAACGAGTCTGTGTGCAAAATGTCAGCTCGATTGGATCACGGGAAGTGGGTTAAAAAACGACCGAAAGATTTGGACGGTCGTAAGCGCGCAAGCAAGCGAACTTAATATAAAGGATTTAAAAATAGCGATACGGTGGTGGTGGTGGTGGATACGGTGAGGCTGGTGGTTTATGTTCATGGTAACGGTGATAATAGTAGCACGGGCCATGATGGTTCTGACAGCGCTCACATTTATCTCGGTAGCGGTGGACGAGATTATGTCAGTGATGGTATTAATATTGAAGGAGGCTCGTGAAGGACGCTGCTACTGGGCAGTAATATTAACACTCCTTCCCTTTATTAGTGCTACCCCTATCCCCTCCCTTTGATGCTGCTAATCCTGCATAATGCACGGGCACAAGTAGTACTAATCACAAACCTGCATTTCCCATAAATATGCAAAATTCCTCTTGATATGCAAATCCTTTTGTCAAGGCGCCCTTCCCCCCCCTTCCAACCCAGCTTAAATAGACGCTCCAAGCATGGTGCTGTTTCATTCAGACGCTGTCTGCCCGACAGACCTGGTCTTCACCTAATGACGGTTGTTTGCGTTGTGGCCAAAACGTCGTGAGAATTATTTTATTATGTTTTATTTTATTATTTTTATTGTTTACATTCTATGTGACTTTACCAAAAGAACCAAGAAGATGAGTTCTAAGGAAGTCACCCTCCAACAACAACGGAGGGCGGCAGAGGAGCGACGCTCACAACAACGAGCTGAGGCGCCGGGCGGCTGAAACGCAGCAAGTTGGCAAAGCGAGAAGCACAGGTGATAGACATCTCCCGGTCATTTCAATCAACTCGTAACACCTGGGACTCTCCCATAGACTTCTTGACAATTCACATTGTCCCCCCCCAATTGCGACCGTAGCCTGTCACGAAACATTACGTGAGGTCATGTAATTTAGTGGGCGAGTGGCAGCAGCTGTTTTTGTTGGTGGTGGTGTGGAACAAGATTGTACCGGCGATGGTGATGACAGTGGTAGTGGATTTGGTGGTGGTGGTGGTGATGCTCATTGATGGACTGGGACAAATAAATCGGCACCAGGTCATTTGCAAACACAGCAGCCAAAATTCGGGCGAACATTTGTTATTGTACACACTTTTACTGGTAGGAACCTCCTGGTTACACCAGCCCACAGAGGATTATTGTGTCCGTCCGTCCTGCATCCAAAAATGGGAGGGGTGGGGCTGGGTGGAGAGGGGAGGGAGGGGCTGGGTGGGGAGTGAGGGGCTGGGTGGGGAGGGGCTGGGTGGGGAGGGTGGGGCTGGGTGGTGGGGGGTGGGGCTGGGTGGGGAGGGGCTGGTCACCCCGTGGTGCCCTTATAAAACTCAACGTTTCACCTACTCACGCCGGCTTGTGCCCGCCCTCACAGTCGGCCATATTTGCGGAATACACCACGCCGCCGTTGACCCTGCAGGCCATTGACCGAGCAACCCAACGTTCCTACCAGCTCCCTCCGCAGGAATGTGTTTAATTAAAAATGCGTTGTGCAATGACAAACTCGATTTGCGACGTGACGTTACAGTGTTGGCGTGATGTTGGCCGTGCGACCTCTCATTAGCCCATTTAGGGCTGGGTCCCAAAACGAAAGAAAAAAACCTCGCAAATGGGGCCAGCGTGGAAAAATCTTTTGGGGGGGGGGGGGGGGGGCAGCTGTCGCATATCTGGGGATTTCATGCCAGCTGAGATATGCGTGAATAAGCAACGAAGCGTTACATGTTAGAGGAACTAAACTATTTTAATGAAAAGTGTTAAAAAATCTGCCCACACGGTCCGGGACCACCGGCCCTCTGGAATGGACCGGCGCCCGACCGAGCATTTGCTGCCGTCTGGCCAGTCGGTGCGGGCCTGGTGGTGGTTAGCGGTGGTGGTGATGATTGTGGTGGTGGTGATTGTGGTGGTGGTGGATCGTGATGACGATGATGGTCTTGGCACCAATGTCGGTCAAGGCCTCTGTGCTTAATCTCGGTGGTGGTCAGGAACCATCAAGCAGTTCACAAGTCAGCGGAGGGTGAATGATTACGACGACAACGTCAAGATCACACAACGCCAGAATTCACTTTCTTCGGTCGAGCCTGGTGCCGGTTGACAGATTAGCCGTGGTGGCTACGCGCATGGCTGCCCGCAATTTGGCACCGTCGAGGGGTGATAGATCACCGCACAAATATTGCCGAATCTCCCCTTCCGCCCCTGTTGGGTGCCCAGGAAGAACCACAGCCCAGCTCACAAGGAGAATGGCTAAATTTCGATTTAAAGCTTTCGTGACTGCAGGGATTCATCTTCTTGGTTCTTTCGGTAAAGTCACGTAGAATGGAAGTAATAAAGTAATAAAAATAAAACATAATAAAATACAATTCTCACGACGTTTCGGCCACAACGCAAGCAGCCGTCCTCAGGTGGAGAACAGGTCTGTCGGAAAGACAGCGTCTTCTCGACAGACCTGTTCTCCACCAAGCAAGCAGCCGTCCTCAGGTGGAGAACAGGTCTGTCAGAGTCTTCTCGACAGACCTGGTCTCCACCTGAGGACGGCTGCTTGCGTTGTGGCCGAAACGTCGTGAGAATTGTATTTTATTACGGTTTATTTTTATTATTTGATTATTTCCCTTCTACGTGATGACTTTACCGAAAGAACCAAGAATAAGGAGAATGTCCACACGCAGCAAGGACGTGGACTCACAGCAGTTGTCGGCATGGGGGGGGGGCGGGGGGAGAGTATTGCCAACCTCCTCCTCCTCCTTCGAGCACGTGGGGTTTCTCCACGATTTTTCCTCCCGCACGTAAACCCAATCATCCACCAGTCCGCCAACACCCTCCGGTATTATAGTAGGACCGCCAGAGCTTGGGCAATTGTCGGTGCTGTTGCTGCTGCTGTTGCTGCTGCTGCTGCTGCTGCTGTTGCTGCTGCTGCTGTTGCTGCTGCTGTTGCTGCTGCTGCTGTTGCTGCTGTTGCTGTTGCTGCTGTTGCTGCTGCTGTTGCTGCTGCTGTTGCTGCTGCTGCTGTTGCTGCTGCTGTTGCTGCTGTTGCTGCTGCTGTTGCTGCTGCTGCTGCTGTTGTTGCTGCTGCTGCTGCTGTTGCTGCTGCTGCTGTTGCTGCTGCTGCTGCTGTTGCTGCTGCTGCTGCTGTTGCTGCTGCTGTTGCTGCTGCTGCTGTTGCTGCTGTTGCTGCTGCTGCTGCTGTTGCTGCTGCTGCTGTTGCTGTTGCTGCTGTTGCTGCTGCTGCTGCTGTTGCTGCTGCTGTTGCTGCTGTTGCTGCTGTTGCTGCTGCTGCTGCTGCTGTTGCTGCTGCTGTTGCTGCTGTTGCTGCTGCTGCTGCTGTTGCTGTTGCTGCTGCTGTTGCTGCTGTTGCTGCTGCTGCTGCTGCTGTTGCTGCAGCTGCTGCTGTTGCTGCAGCTGCTGCTGTTGCTGCTGTTGCTGCTGTTGCTGCTGCTGTTGCTGCTGCTGTTGCTGCTGCTGTTGCTGCTGCTGTTGCTGCTGCTGCTGCTGTTGCTGCTGCTGCTGTTGCTGCTGCTGTTGCTGCTGCTGCTGTTGCTGCTGCTGTTGCTGCTGTTGCTGCTGCTGTTGCTGCTGCTGCTGCTGTTGCTGCTGTTGCTGCTGCTGCTGTTGCTGCTGTTGCTGCTGCTGTTGCTGCTGCTGCTGTTGCTGCTGCTGCTGCTGTTGCTGTTGCTGCTGCTGTTGCTGCTGTTGCTGCTGCTGTTGCTGCTGCTGCTGCTGTTGCTGCTGCTGCTGTTGCTGTTGCTGCTGCTGTTGCTGCTGCTGCTGTTGCTGCTGCTGTAGCTGCTGCTGCTGTTGCTGCTGTTGCTGCTGTTGCTGCTGCTGCTGCTGCTGTTGCTGCTGCTGCTGCTGTTGCTGCTGCTGTTGCTGCTGCTGCTGTTGCTGCTGCTGTTGCTGCTGCTGCTGCTGCTGTTGCTGCTGTTGCTGCTGCTGTTGCTGCTGCTGTTGCTGCTGCTGTTGCTGCTGTTGCTGCTACTGCCGCCGCCGCCTTCTCGCCCGTCTGTGGTTCCCTCCCGAGTCGTTCTATCTCTCAATCTACCGGAGTGAGCTCACTCGTGGAGACGTTTCCATTAGGAAGAATGGGGGGGGAGGGGGATGGGGGGACAAAATGTCAATCTCCAGCTCGGTGCATTTCGGCCAGGAGCTGTGGTGACGACAGAGACTCGTGGCGGTGGAGGTTGTGGTGGGTGTCATTGCGGCGTTGACGATGGTAACGATTGCGACGACGACCGAGACGACGGTGGTGACGGTGGCGGCGGTGGTGGCGATGGACGTGCAGTGGGGGCGCGGCGCTTGCTGACGATAGCGATTGGTGGGACGGTGTAAAGTTGCGGTCGGCTCTTGGGGGAGGGGGTGGGGGGATGCATTTCTCCCGTCGTAACTCCCACGTTTCTGTCACCGACAAAGAAACAAATCATCATCGAACACGGGTCACAACCACCGCCTATCGAGACGTAAACCGGACCCTCGCCACCACCAACCCCACCCACCCCTCCGAGCGACCCGGTAACACGAGCCCGTGCAGTCACAGCGTTTGGGGCACGTGCGTCTGCCAGTGGCACATCAAGTCGGAGAGGTATCGGAAGGCGCTCCCACACAGGTCGCAGCGGTTCGGCCTCTCGGCGTCGTGCTTCTGCAAGTGCTTCCTCAGGAGGAACTGACGGAAGAACATCTGGCCGCACACGTTGCACTTGTACTGCATCGACCTCGTGTTGTGCGGCTGCTGCTGCGGCTGCGGCTGCAGCTGCCGCAGCTTGCGCTGCGGCGCTAAATCTTCCCGCTCCTTTTCCAGCTGCCACGTGGCGCGCTTGCCGGCGTGTGTGGCGGCTCTCGGGGCGATTGTCGCGGCGGCGGCGGTAGCGGCGGCGGCGGCTATCGTGGCCGGGACGGCCGCGACTCTGCTGGTGTTGCCGGCGGCGGCGGTCCTGATTGTGGTGGCGGCGGAGGTGGTGGCGGTGGTTGCGGCGGCAGTGGAGGTGGTTGTGGTGGCGGTGATTGTGGCGGCAGCGGAAGTGGTTGTGGTGGCGGTGATTGTGGTGGCGGCGGCGGTGGTGGTGGTTGCGGCTGCAGCAGAGGTGGTGGCGGTGGTAGCGACGGCAGCGGCGACAGTCGCGCTGGCATCGATCGTGGCGGCGGTCCAATCTTTCGCTTCAGATTTGATCTTCACGCTGCCGGGCTTGCTCTGCTTCTGTGACGGTGGCGCCGGCGGCGGTGGTGGCGGTGGTAGTGGCGCAACGGTGCCGGGCCTTCGAGCGCACGCCCGACCCTGGGCTTTTGCGTCCTGCAGCGACGTCACCCGCTCGATGACGAACCCCCAGTGGGTTTCCGCCCTGTTGCCTGCGGGGGAGGGACACGGGCGGGATGAGGGACGCAAGAGTGGCGGTGGCGGGGGGCGGCTCCACTCGAGGCCCTGTCGCGCACGCCCAATACGCTTCCGAATTGGGTGTAGAGTGAATTTGTTTTTCGAATAACGGCAGCGATGCCCGTTGCCCATCGTCACCGCTGCTGCCGGATGCTCCGACGGCAAGAACGTAGTAGTCTAGGCTAACAATTGACGGGTGTACGTTTGCAAACCGTCGGCAAGAACGTAGTCGTCTAGCCTAACAATTGACGGGTGTGCGTTTGCAAACCGTCGGCAAGAACGTAGTAGTCTAGCCTAACAATTGACGGGTGTACGTTTGCAAACCGTCGCGCAACTTTCGTCCGTGGGTCCCACCAATGCGCCGGCGTGTATGGAGGGCCAGGAAATAAGCGGAACCTGCAAGGGGTAGACGGCCAGAACTAGGGAGGTGTGAAGGCCAGTTCAAAGAAGGCGAGTTTGTCAGACTTAAAATATATATGAGAATCGAGCGATTCCAAATTGCCTCGTCGACATAAAAGCGTTGCAAAGTTTTGGGAGCAAAATCCCGCGGGGATCATCACCCCTGCAAAACGAGCTTTTGAGCTTGGAGAATTCAGAAGGAATTCCTACTCGATTTAAAGCTTTCGTGACTGCAGGGAATCATCTTCTTGGTTCTTTCGGTAAAGTCACGTAGAAGGGAAGTAATAAAATAATAAAAATAAAACATAATAAAACAATTCTCACGACGTTTCGGCCACAACGCAAGTAGCCGTCCTCAGGTGAAGAACAGGTCTGTCGGCGAAACGTCGTAAGAATTATTTTATTATGTTTTATTTTCATTATTTTATTATTTCCCTTCTACGTGAGATGAAACTTGCGGACTCTGGGTCGGGGAGTCAAGCAAGCGTCCTTAAACCGAAGCGATGTCTCAATCGTTGGGACGCGCACATCCAATGGCACGGCCATTCCCACGCCGGGCGTTTCAATTCGCAGAGCCGGCGAAGCTAATGCAGCGAGAGCCGACAGCGTGAATCGAGTTGAGGAAATCGCAACTTTTTCGGCATCCTCTCCACCAGTGGTTCTTGACCTCGACTGCAGCCTTGCATCCCCCTTCGGTTTTCAATCGTTAAAACATGTGTAAGGACAGTACGGGGTGATGTAGGGACAGTACGGCTCCCCGTGGCCATGGTTACTAATTAACGTAACGGGAACAGTTAGGATAATGTGGAACCCAAGTGGTCGCTAATGATGATTGATGCGACAAGCTTTGACAGGGTCGCGTGAGGGGAAGCACGAAACCTAACGGTCGTAAATTGTAATAAGGGCAGAGACAGACAGGGCCAGGTGCCGGGTCGTGAGCGGGATAAAAGCCGGCGTGAACCGGGGGCTCTGGGCTGCTGTTGTGGGGGAACTGCCGTCGCCGTCGTCACCTTTGAGCGGGTCGCAGAGGTCGCAACCGGGTACCCGATACCCGTACCCTACCCGATACCCGGCTACCCCTACCCAGCCGGGTACGGGTAGGCCGTGAGCCACTGGTGAGTAACTGTTTGTCACTCATTTCCCAACGTCTCGTCTCTTCTCTCAATTCAAGTTCCTAGAATCAACCCATCCGCGCCTGCAACATGGCTTCATCCCAGAGGTCGCAATCAGGTACCCGATACCCGTACCCGACCCGTACCCGGCCGGGTACGGGTCAGGTACGGGTACGGCCGGGTACGGGTAAGGAATCAAAACCCGTTTGCGACCTCTGGCGGGTCGTCTTCCTCACCCTGGAGTGGGCACCTTGTAGTCTTGGAAGGCTATGAGTTATGTTGTCTAAGAATAGAGTTACCTAGTTACCCAAGTGTATATACAGTCACTCGGGGTTACTCGTTAAGTGATCAGCGAGTCCGCGGGTTTTATTCATAATAAATATACATATAGCTGAACAAGATGGTGTCTCTGAGAACTACATTACACATGTATGTTTATAAATGCATAGGGTTTGATGAAACAAAGTAGTTGTAACTTACGTGCCCGTGAAAAATCTGTGTTTTCGATGATCTACCTTCTATAAAAAATCTGTCCATGTCTTGCGTACACCCCCAGATAGGGGATCACGCACACACACATGGATGGGGACGCTGACAAAGTAAATGGAACAAAAAAATGGACCGAAGAGGAAAGTGAAGTAGCCAGCGAAGTCGGTGCGAGTTTGCGTGCAAGCCGGCGCCCAACTTTTTGGGGGTTTGTACAAAAAAAAATCCGCGCGGCAACCGGGAATTGCTTAACGGCCGGCCGAGAAAACGGCGCCAACCAAATCAGCGACAATTCAAACGAGCGTAAAACCGTCACCTTTTTTTATTCCATTCATAATTATTCTCGTTCAAAAAAGCTGCTCGTGTAAGACACAAGACGCCTTTCAGCAGCGGGCGATGATGAAATAAATCGAACCAAGCAGTCGCGTAATCTCACCACGTGACAAGCGCCCGCCCGTATTGTGAGCTTTCAGATACGCTCTTGCGGCCGTCTGGAATGCTCTTCCGATATTAGGAAACCACCGGCGATATGCACCTTTTAAATCATCATCTAGATTGACAAACTCATTTCTTTACAACTAATTTTTGTTTAGTTTGTTGTGCCCTTCCCCCGCACCTCCGATTAGCACGGTTGGCTACGTATGGTGCAAAAGAAGTTCCACGTACATACATACATCACACTCAAATCAAAGACATCTGCATCACGAATGCAGACTGCACAATTCAAATAAATGCCTACGATATGATCATCGCCAGTATGCCCCGATCTCGTTCAATCTTGGGTAGAGCTGAGCAACCGAGGATAATTGAGCATGGACGATGCTCGGATTGGTAACGATCGCTGCACTGATAGGTTATCAGAGACTGCTGCGGGGAGACGCAGTGGGCAGAAGGCGAGCGGTGCAGCAATATCACAAGTCTGTGTAATCCCCCACCTTCATCAAAACCGCGCCAAGGAGCGCGGTGACATACGGTCAAATACCACCCATTGACCCACACCGCATGGGGGAAGAAGCCTCATTCCAGCAGTGAAGAGGGCTCTTCATTTTTTTTGTAATTCTTCAACAGAGAAATGCGAAAGAACCAGAGAGTATAAATGCAACGTAGTTACGTTTGAAAGTTGCCAAAAAGTAAAAAAGAATTATCCATTAAACCTGGGAAGCGTCGTTTAGCAAAGGACGTCACTCGTACGTGCGCATCGCATCGAATGAAAACACACTGTTTGAATTGAGAGGTCAACAGAGCCGTAATCAACCCCCCCCCCCCCCCCCGACATTACCAGTTCCACGGTTTAAAAACTCACGCAGAAGTCGCCCCCGGTCGCGCCATCAAAGGCGCGTGTGGGAATTACCACAGTCGTTCCCCAGGCAAGCCGACGGAGGTGACCACCCCCCACTTGTCGCGCTACCGTACGAACGTGGAGAATCGTTTCACTTTTCGATTTGAAGCTTTCGTGACTGCAGGGATTCATCTTCTTGGTTCTTTTGGTAAAGTCACGTAGAAGGGAGATAATAAAAATAAAACATAATAAAATAATACAATTCTCACGACGTTTCGGCCACAACGCAAGCAGCCGTCCTCAAGTGAATAACAGGTCTGTCGGAAAGACAGTGTCTGAAATTTCAGGACATTTTCAGAACCGGTCTGTCGAAAAGACCTGAAATTTCAGACGCTGTCTTTCCGACAGACCTGTTGTTCACTTGAGGACGGCTGCTTGCGTTGTGGCCGAAACGTCGTGAGAATTGTATTTTATTATGTTTTATTTTAATTATTTTATTATTTCCCTTCTACGTGACTTTACCGAAAGAACCAAGAAGATTAATCGTTTCACGTTTGCTCGCTTTCCCCACTGAACAACCGCGGATTCGGCACTTCAGCCGTGCTAAGCGAGCACCAGCGCGGCTCAAGGATGTTTTCTTTTCCAATGGAAGAACCCAAACCGAAAAACGTGTCACCATCCAAGTTTAAAGACTGACCTCTCGATTGGCTCCCCCCCCCGCCCTGCCTCCACCACCCCAAACCAGATTCGGACGTCTTGTAGGGCCCAGCGTTTCACAGTTTGTTTTTGGATCGGCTCGGCATAACAGAAGTTCAAAGCCAGCCGTAGTGTCAGTGCCCGATAAGGCTCGGATACGCCGGGAGAAAAAAGGAAAAAATCGATGAACATTTCGCAACGAGACAGACGTGCGCCAGCATCTTCGTGTGCGTCTCCCCCACCCACCGCCATGCTACACCTTCACCCTCACGTGCTTGTGCTGGTGGCGCTTGAAGCTGTGGCGGTGGGCGAAAGCCTGCCCGCACTCCCCGCAGCAGTACGGCTTCTCGCCCGTGTGAGTACGCAGGTGGATCCGCAGCTGCACCGCCCGCAGGAAGGCGTGCCCGCACAAGTCGCAGCGGTGGGGCTTCTCGCCCGTGTGCCTCCGCTCGTGCAGCCTCAGCGTAGACGAGCGCGTGAAGGCGCGCCCGCACACGTTGCAGGCGTACAGCTTCTCGCCCGTGTGCGGCCGCGTGTGGTTGCCGAACCCGTGCGACGGCGGCGGCGGCGGCGCAAAGGGGAGGCCGAGCGCCTCGCCGCCGCCGCCGCCGCCCGTCGCCTCGGCCGCGCGACGCTCCGCCGAGAGCCTCTCCGCCAGGTGCCTGGCCGTGTGCTTCTCCAGGAAGTCGCGCCTCGTGAACGACTGTCCGCACTCCCCGCAGCCGTGCGTGGCGGCGGCGCCGTGCGGAGTCCACTCGCGCAAGCCGAAGGGCGCGGCGCCCGGCCAAGGCTTCGGGCCCTCCTGCCGCGGGGCGGGTCCGACGGCGCGCAGCTTGGAAGGGCGCGAGGGCATCGGGATGGAGGCGGCGGCGGCGGCGGCCGTCAGGAAGTCCTGCCAGGCCACGCTCCGGCCAACGGCGCCGGATTCCGCTGGCGCTTGGGGCTCCTGCGATTGTGCCACGGCGCTAGTTTTTTCTGACCACGGAAGGAGGGGTTTGGTGCTCTGCAGCGACTCCACGCGATTGATGAGGAACCCTGAGTGACTCTCTGCCTCTTTACCTACAGGAGGACACAGTGGTTCGAACGATCAGAGAGCTGCACCAATTCCATACGATTAACGCCGCTTGTTTATGACAAAAGTTTGGGAGGGACTTGCGCGCGCTTTTCGGCAAACAATCCATGCAATTACTTTCGCGGTGCGAGCAAGACAATGTACGTCGTCGATTTTATTAAAAAGTGCAGTCCACAAAAAAACCCATCCAGCATTTCCTCTCGTCGCCGAGTTCCGAATGCATTTCGTAGCAGCACACCGTCAGAGCAATACCTCCGCTCGATATTACTACACCGGAAGAAAACAACCCAAAAAGCAGGTTGATATTTACAAAGCAAAAATCTTAAGTCCCCAACTACCACTTTCAGAACATGTGATCTCACGTCCGACGTTTTAACATGTTCTGTATCTGTTTTAACACGTAGGATTTCGCGACCAACGTTGTCCATAATAAAGGAAAATGTTGTGGGATTACTCTCCAGCACAACCGTTGTGCTGAGCTCGTAACGAATCGGCAAGTGTTGTTTACGTGACAAACCTGTCTAATCATTGGCTGGTGAGGGGTTTAACGACACATTTATATGTATGCGATATAACCCCAAAAACAACAAAAACATCCACTATGCATACTGTATCTGTGTTTCACAGAGAACAAATACGGAAAGCCGTAACAATTCTTTCGGAGCACGAACGTATAAAAGCGAAACATCCCGGGGATAATAAAAAATATGCATGCCAACGCAAGCAACACGTTTATGAGCAACATCATCTTTGGGGGAGAGAGGATTGACTAAACACCCATTGTTAAAAATGGCCAACTAGTAAGAGCCATGCAGCTTTCGCTTTGCTGTGTCATGTCCGCGTTTGCCCTCTCCGCATTTACAATGAGAAAATGTTTAAACACTTTTCAGAAACGTACATTTTTTGTTCGAAAGCCTTCATTGGTTGGCTTTGGGCTAAAACAGTCGATCCGCCGTAGGCAGGACTGTGGATCGATATGACCACCGCCGGGACCAGGCAAACCAACCATCCCAGCATAAATAGTCGCTCCAAGCCTGGGGCGTGCCATTCAGACTCTGTCTTCTCGACAGACCTGTTCTTCACCTGAGGACGGCTGCTTGCGTTGTGGCCGAAACGTGGTGAGAATCATTTTATTACGTTTTTTTTTTCATTCTACGTGACTTTACCGAACGAACCAAGAAGATGAAACCAACCAAGTTCAAGTCCCAAGTTGGTGGGCCAATGCAGGCCCCATCCAACTCAATAAATCAATCAATTTAGCACGACTCCGTGAAAGACAACAGCGGTCATCCGATGTAGAGTGGGTTGGGGGGGGGACAGCAATTCTCCCCCATCAGGGGAATGTGGAATTTCCACCGCTAGTTTCGCAGAAGTCCAACAGCAACGAACACACCTCCCCCGTCCGCCACCCGCCGCCACCCGCCCCCCCCCAATACTCATTCGAGCAGCGGAGACGTTACGACCCCCTCGTATTGCTGAACGATGGGCGGGACCGCGGCGAGCTCGTCGCCAACGCGCGCGTGCGTGCGCTGGTGCCGCTTGAAGCTATAGTGGTGCGAGAACGTCTGCCCGCAGACGTCGCAGCGGTAAGGACGCTCGCCCGTGTGCGTCCGCCGGTGCAGCTTCAGCGTGGAGAAGAGGGCGAAGGCACGGCCGCACGCGCCGCAGCGGTGCGGCTTCTCGCCCGTGTGCGTGTGCTGGTGCCGCTGTACGTGCGCCAGCCGCTTGAAGGTAAGGCCACACACGTGGCAGCGGTAGGGCCTCTCCGCCGCGTGCCCCTCCGGCGCGTGGCCCTCCGGCACGTGCGCCTCGGCCAATTGCCTCGCCGCCGCCGACGCCGCCGACGCCGCCGCCGCCGCCGCCGCGTGTCGCTCCTCCGCGTGTCCTTCCGCCGCTAGCCTCCGTGCCTCCGCCGCGTGCCTCTTCAGGAAGTCGTAACTCGGGAACTGGCCGCGCTCGCCGCGGACGCACGGAGGGGCGCCCGGCCGCTCCCGCTCGGGGAAGGCCGCCCCTCGCCAGGCCTGCGCTGCCGCCGCAGCCGCCCCGTTCTGCTGCGGGACGCACGGGTTGGCGGGACGCGCGGATGTCGAGCCGGCGTCAGCGGCCGAGGCGAAATCCCATCGTTCTACGCTGCCGTTGAATGCGCCCGAGTCTTGCCATCGCGCGAGGAAGCTAGGGTTTCGTGGCGACGAAAGGGGCCCTTCGGTGCTCAGCAGTGACGTGACGTCATTGATGGCGAACCTTGAGTCACTTTCCGCCCTTTTACCTACAGGAGGACACAGGCGGTGTTTTTGAGCGATCAGAGAGCCGCGTCCCTCGCCTTGCGGCAAAAGCTCGCGTGGCGTTGCTAACTGCAGAGGACACGATCCCGTGCATTTGCTCATTCGTAAATCAACGCGAAGGCATCCGTGTGGCCACGACAGAGGCTGCATACGACAGCGGATGCTCTGTCGTATCAGAAAGCTCCTACTACTTTAGGCGGCCAGTTACAGAAAATGTAATGCCATTTTCCGTGACTTAAATTACGTTACGCGGCACGGTGTTTTGGCAAGCACGTGTCCGAGACCCATACCGGCAAAGCAAACTTCGATCATTATAACCGTCAAATAAAAAGCACACCTATTGACAGAAGGTTAAAAAGTCAATTAACCAAGCCATTACCAAACCTAACGTTTTTACGTCCCAAATATTGTAAGCCACGGCGATGAGAGCAGTTTCAATGGCGTAGCTCCAAAATACCCTTTGAGCAAACGAGGATGAGTTCTACCAATGTTATCATGACCGGCTCACCAACTCCAAAGCAGTTTCCCTGCTAAGAGGAATGCAAGGCTACACTCATCAGAGGTGGAAGTCCCGAAGCGGTGGTCGGAATTCCATCATGGCAGAGGGCAGGCGATATATCCCCAACAAAGTATTACACATTTGATCAAGAGTACAGGTTTCTCGCCACCAGTGCCACCCGGTAAGATATCACCGACTACGCACCAAGTCGCTACTTCTCTTCTGCTGTTCTCACTGTCTCGAATTGCCTTCCCCGAGCCGTGCACACTGCCGAGATCCAGGCTAGAGGCAACGTCCATCTCCTATGAAAACTTTGGTATGCACACATCCCTCATAATCTCACCTCAAACTTTCTCTCCGAATGCTGCCCTATGATTCCCTGCTGCAGGAAATAAAAAAAACCCTCTTCCCACTCCGAGATATGCACGCATTGCCTATTTGTAACAGTGGTTTGAGAGACACACACGCACACACACAGAGTCACATCGAACCGCTCGGTAAATCCAAAACCTATTGTGTAGTGCGACCTACCCATCCTGAAACGAGACCTCGTAAACTAATAACGCTGCTACGTACACGCCGTCGTCTTCATTTTGCAATCAAGGATACAGAGTTCACGTATTTTCTTAACAGCACACCTCATACACAACTAACGCCGCGCGAGTTTCAATGTTGGCCAACTCGGGCCTGTACATCTTAAATGATTGAGGCTTGCCAAAACCTCTGAAAGTTCGAATTGATCCACAGGTGTCCTCCTTTTGGTATAGAGTCACATCTAGGCTGTGCGTCCTAGGGATGGGGGGGGGGTGGGGCTGGTCACATCTGTTACTGAGAAGAGTAACTGGGTTCACGTCCGCCCCCCCCCCCCCCCCCCCCGGTGCAAAGAGGTGTAGACGATGCCGCGTCCAGAGTGGGAAAAATCGGGGAAACGACTTTTATGTTGAAGCTTGTCCACAAAAGCTTGGGCCGTGCAATAACCCGTTGCAATGTTGCAGCCGCACAGCGAGACATCATCGCTGCCTCAATGCGCATTCCACAGGACAGAACGCAAAGAATCCGGTGACCCCCAGCTCTCCACTGCACCTCCGTTCAGAGTCAGCTGGCTTTCGGCACGGTGGGTCCATTGAGCGTTGGAAATTGACAACATGAATGACCTCCTGCAGCGTCCCATCTTGTGGTCGTCACTCGGGCAAAGATTCAACGTCTTTGTTCTCGCATCAATAAACCATCTCGCGCAGCGTCGGCGCGTGCACGGCAATGCGCTTTCACACCAACGAAATTCGATTTCAAATCGCGCACCAGCGCCCCTTCTTCGGCGCCTTGGCAAGCTGCCCGGGCCCCGCTTCTCCCCCTCTCCCTCCCCACCCCCTTGCCCCCGGCGCGCCCGCCTCACGCCTTCCCGCCGGCGTGCGTGCGCTGGTGCCGCTTGAAGCTGTGGCGGTGCGAGAAGAACTGCCCGCACTCGCCGCAGCGGTACGGCTTCTCGCCCGTGTGCGTGCGCAGGTGGATTTTGAGCTGCTGGCACCGCGTGAAGGTGCGGCCGCACACGGCGCAGCCGTGCGGGCGCTCGCCCGTGTGCGTGCGCCGGTGGCGCGTCAGCTCGCACGGCCGCTTGAAGGCCCGGCCGCACACTAGGCAGTGGTGGGGCCTCTCCGTCGTATGCGTCAGCTTGTGCTTGCGCAGGTAGCTCGCCCGATTGAACTGCTGCCCGCACACCTTGCAGCTGTACTGACCGCTTGAGGTCGCCGCCGCCGCCGACGCCGCCGTGCGCTTCGCGAGCGGCCCCTCCCGCCGGCCCTGCCCGCCCGGCTCGCTTCTCCCCGCGGTCGACAGGTGCCCATCGTAAGGCGGACCCGCCGGGCTCCACTCGGGGTCGTGGGTCTCGCCCGGCACTTGCGACGACGCGAGGGCGATAGCGCTATACGGGCGGCCGCGCCGGAGGAGGTGCGGGGCGGCGGTGCCCTGGAGCGACGTCACATCATCGATGATGTACCCCGAATGACATTCCTCACTCTTACCTACGAGAGGAGAGAGCGGATTTTGAGGGATAAGAAGCTGCACTGGGTGCAACACAGCCACAGCGTAGCAGCATTAGCGCGTGACGGGAGGGGGGGGGATGCAGGACAGGGTTAATGATTTCAAGGTGAAGGGCCCTGTTCGTGTCTTAAAGGTCAATAGGCCATCGGAAGTCGAATGCCGTCAATGTCACCGCTCCCACGGCATCGCTTCCCCTTCCTTCCGCTCGATGCTGTAACTGTTGACGAGTTGACGCGAGACATTGGAGGCTCCGCTGTTTTGACTCATCGTGGGTTTAGGTCTTCCCCCTTCATCGATGAGCTGTAGCAGAGGTCGCAACCGGGTACCCGATACCCGTACCCTACCCGATACCCGGCTACCCGTACCCGGCAGGGTACGAGTACCCGTTTGCGACCCTGGTGCGGCCGGGTACGGGTACGGATGGGCCGTGAGTCACTGGTGAGTAACCGTTTGTCACTCATTTCCCAACGTCTTGTCTCTTCTCACAATTCAAGTTCCTAGAATCAACCCACCCGCGCCTGCAAAATGGCTTCATCCCAGATGTCGCAATCAGGAACCTGTACCCTACCCGATACTCGGCCGGGTACGGGTAGCCAGGTATCGGGTAGGGTATGGGTACCCGTTTGCGACCCTGGTGCGGCCGGGTACGGGTACGGGTAAGGAATCAAAACCCGTTTGCGACCTCTGAGCTGTAGGCGCCACTCCCAACAGCCGTTTCGGTACCCTGCCCATCACAACGACCCCCCCCCACCCCCTTTGTGTGTACAACGCTGTCTTGCCAGGTTCTGTTCAGAACTTCCACGTTGCTTTACCCTGTCATTATTTCAAGGAAATGTTTCCGTAATAGTCATAGAAGTGTTTTATTGTACAGATGCACACCGCGCATTTGATTTGGTCATGGATGTTGAATGCATAAGAAGCTCATGCTTAGCCGCACGCGAACAAATTCCATGCGTTTTGTTTTAATATGTATGTTGCAGCAGTAGGTAATGGTTTCACATCACCCCCATTGAAAATTGTAGATGCGCCACGGAATGTTTTTTACGTAAAATCGATTTACAGTGCCTCGCAACGTAAATAAAAGTATATTATAGATTCCTGGGGACCAGGAATCGCGATGATCCAGCGAACCACCAGGATAGAGAGAGAGGGGTGAAACGTGACACGCTTTCGAAAGGGGAAAAAAATCAGGACAAACCAACACCCACCCCCCATCCTCCCATGAGCACCACACATCGGGGCTTCTGCACCGCTCAAAAAAATCCTGAAATCTGACAATGGGGCGCTCTGCCATTATTCACACAACAGCCCCCCCCCCCACCTCTCCACCCCATCTCTCTCTCTCAAGACTGCTAGCAGCAACATCTAGAACCGTCACCGCTCGCGGCAATCGGCATCGCAGCACTTGGCAGCCACGAATGAGCGTCGAAGTCGCTGCTGCAATGCCGCACAAGGCTCCGCATCTTTCCGTGCGGTGTTGCGAATACCTCAAGTGCGGGATTTTTACTTTTTTTCTGTAAAGACCAGCAACTCGCACGTCCTTTGGACAAGACCGTCTGTCCCAGCCTGCCAAGCCAGCAAAACGTTCATTTTTATACTAGCTGTACTACCCCGGCTTCGCCCGGATCCACCACCTTTGTCTCCCCAGTGGCGATGTTCACACGCCACAGCAGTTACTCGTTCGAGGCTGAGTCGACCTAGGGGCGGCCCAGGAGCGGTTGAAATAATCGTCACCGGTGGTGGCCGTGAGCGGGAATCGAACTCGGGTCGCCGGGTTCGTAGCGCGGCGTAGCGCTACCCGCTACACTACAATGCGTTACGCTGCCACGTACGCGAGTCACGTGACAGATGTGACGTCACAGCTCACTTGCCGTGCAAAAAATAAATGCATTATTGAGCCTCCCCCCCCCCCCAAAAAAAGTGTAATTTTATAATGTTTGCATGGTGTACAGTCTGGAAAATACCCACATGGCAAATTTCTCAAGTTTGTTGCATGTCGGGAAGTACGCTAAACATTTTGAACAGACACACATAATCACAACTTTGCCGTTTATATATATTGGAGCCAGACCCCCGTCTCTCCGCCTTTCTCTTGCCTTGGCCTCTCTGTACCGTCGGTTGCAATTTACTTTCATTTCTCACTTTTTATTTCTTATTCTCAACTCCTCCGTCCTCTGTCTTCCCTCCACTTAATCTCACCCACTCCCCCCCCGCCTCCATCTCTCTCCCGGTTTCTCTCGCTCTCACCGTCACTTTCCTTATTCCCACTCCATCCCTTCTCCGTCTCTCTCGCCTCTCCGTAATCCTCTCTCTCACTGCTTCTCACGTTCCCTCGCTCTCCTCTCATGCCCTTTCACTGTCTCCCCGTACCCCCTCTCCGCTAACGTCTCTTCCTCCTTCTTCTTGGTTCTTTCGGTAAAGTCACGTAGAAATAATAAAATAATAAAACATAATAAAATACAATTCTCACGACGGTTCGTCCTCAGGTGAAGAACAGGGCTGTCGGAAAGACAGACGCTGTCTTTCCAACAGCCCTGTTCTTCACCTGAAAGACATTGCTGTCTTTCCGACAGCCCTGTTCTTTACCTGAGGACGGCTGCTTGCGTTGTGGCCGAAACGTCATGAGAACTGTATTTCATTACATTTAATTTTTATTATTTTATTCTTTCTACATGACTTTACCGAAAGAACCAAGAAGATGAACTCCTGCAGTCACGAAAGCTTTAAATCGAAAGTCTTTCCTCCCTAAAAATCTCACTCCATAACCTCCCCTACATTATTCTCATACGGTAGGGGTGGAATGAAAAATGCTAGCGAGAGTAAGATGATACACGTCAGCGTGTGTGTGGGACACGCATAGGTGTGTAGGGTGGATGGGGAGGCATGACGTCAGCACACAAGGTACGTGCAGTGACATCGTCACCAACCCGCAAAAGCACTTGGGAGCGCGGCACCCAGACAGGAAGGAATACACCCAGGCCATCCAGCCAGAAAACTATTCACTAATATAGTATGAAACTTCTTCTTGGTTCTTTCGGTAAAGTCACGTAGGTAAAAAATAAAATTAAAAATTACTAAAAGTAAAAATAGAAATAAAATAAAATAAATCACGACGTTTCGGAGGCAACACAAGTCTCCGTCATCAGGTGGGACCGTCACAGCCAGATTTGCTGTATCAAGTGAGGCAGGGATTCCAAGATACAAGTTCTTAAATACAAGTTAAGGGGGGAGGAGGGAGGGAGGGGCTTATCTGAATGTGGTAGCCAATGAATGGAACGTGACTTTACAGAAAAAACCTAAGAGTATGAATCATTGCAGTCACAAAAGCTTCAAATCTAGAATATAGTATGAAACCAGATTGTCCAAGAGTTCTGGCTTTTTGGATGCATGTCTATCACTGTTGTGGTCCTTTACACTTTCATCACACACACACCTGTATGTGTAAACGGCTAATAAAATAAAACTTATAGCTCTATACCGGAACTGAATTTTCTTGATTCTGTTCCTGAAGAAGCTCCCAACGCTTTGGGCGCGAAGCATCACGCATCACGACATACGGTGCCGACCTTAAAAAAACAAACCCCATCGGAGAGCCGTAACCGCCACAAGTGCAATAAAATATTTCTGCGGTAACAGTCATATGAACTTGCGTCTGAAGGCGATAAGGAAACTGAGAGACGGACCTCGGAGCCCAGCGGCTGACCACGCGTAAAGGTCGCGGAAGACCTAGCGGAAGCAAGCGAGCAACACTGAAAGCACGGCGCGGCATCGAAAGCAACGATAGCGGTAACAACTCTCCAAACTGCGGACGCTCTTCGTTGAACGGAGACGAATTTCTACGTGGAACAAGATTTCACTCATGGCACCACGCCGCCGTGAGACCGTCACCGTGTCCCGTGCAGCGCAGCGCGGGTAACGCCTCCACCAACATCACCGCTCCCCAGTTATTGCAGCGGATAATTCGGCGAGTTTCCCCCGAAAAAGGTGAATGATTTTAGTCAGACTCGAATTGTTAATGTTGTCATGGGTTTACTCTCCCAACACACAACCGGTTGCGCTGAACTAGTAACAAATTTCGATGTAAAGCTTTCGTGACTGCAGGGATTCATCTTCTCGGTTCTTTCGGTAAAGTCACGTAGAAGGGAAATAATAAAATAAGAAAAATAAAACATAATAAAATACAATTCTCACGACGTTTCGGCCACGACGCAAGTAGCCGTCCCTCAGGTGAAGAACAGGTCTGTCGGGAAGACAGCGTCTGAATGAAACACCACCAGGCTTGGCAGCGTATATTTAAGCCGGGTTGGAGGCGGAACAGATGGGCACGTTTTGTTTACGTGACAAACCTTACTACATTGGCTCTGTCACAGGTAGTGGCGGGTTTAATGGCGCATTTATATTTACGCGATCTAGCCCAAAAAAACCCCCCTCTATTATCAATGTAGAAACGACGAAAAAGCAATTACGGTCCTGGGAGTTTAAAGGGGGTTCTGCGTCTACAATTGGTTGAAGTGTAAGGCGTCAAGCAGGTGGGTAGCCGGAGTTTAGGGTGCGGTAGCAGAGGCAAGCGGATCTTGAAGGTAATTCTGCTCACAATGGCCAGTCAATGAAGAGCACGAAGGATGGACAGCGAGTCAGGGCGAGGATTGCGGGCAATGCGATTTTAAAGGCGTTGCAGCTTATCCTTGCTCAGGGCTCAGTCCTGGGCCCCCTGCTGTTTTTCCGCCTATTCCTCTCCCGTTGACCGACTGACCGACAGCTTCGGCACCTGCCACACCTCCCTACGCCGACGACGCTCTTCTTATCGCCTCCGTGGAAATCTCCCAACATCTCGGGCGTCGACCGTCTTGCTCGGCAGTACCGGTTTCAACATCACGACCTAATCCCGAGGCCACGTCAATTTGCGCTAGGCAAAGGGCCGGCTTCACTCTCACCCCCCACGGGAATCTCAATCGCCGGGTTCCTTCGTTCAGTTCTCCGACCGTGTTGACATTTCTCGGCGTCACCCTTGATCCCCGCTCGCTCTCCTTCGACACCCACGCAGGCTTCGTTCTCAGGGACCATCGCCACCTCCAACGTCGCGAATTACTGTCGCCTGCAGCATCGTTGGGTCACGAGCTCGAACATTGCAACAATGCTAAATTGTAACGTATGTGCGTTGAACTTCCTTCGCACCTCACGTAGCCAACCATGCTGATCAAGAGGTGCGTGGAAAGAAGGACAGCAAACTAAAGAAAAAAAAGCATTTCTCAAGAAAGACTTTTCAATCTAGATTATTTAAAAGTGGCTTCCCAATATCAGAAGGAAGAGCATTCCAGAGGGCCGCAGAAGCGCATCTGAAAGCGCCGGAGCGATGCGGTGACCGCCTTTGTTCGATTGCTAGACATCTAATAAATATGTACCAATTAGCAAGTCCGTGAGTTTCAAGACTCTTGTATTATCTTAGGGTGCTGCTGCTGCATTGGGATTCTTGGCAAATTCCATCAATGAGAGATTGGCTTCGTGTGGGAGATGAAATAGAAGCCGAAGGACACCCCACCACGCATTCGATGGGTAGGGTACGGGTAGGGTACGGGTAGGGTATGGGTAGAGTACGGGTACGGGTACCCGTTTGCGACCATGGTGCAGCCAGGTACGGGTAAGGAATCAAAACCCGTTTGCGACCTCTGTCCAGAACCAGCCGTCCACACGCACGGTCGCCAAACGCTCGGCACTAACGAAACGTACAAAACCCCTGCCGCCGCCACCGCCGCCGTCGATTGAACCGCTCGCCATACGGAAGGAAAGAATCGTACAAAAATAGCTACCGCTCTTACCCGATCCATCCATGCACGAGGCGGCCATGCCGTCCGCTCCGTCTTGCGCCCGCCATCCGCCGCCGCCATCGTCGTTGTCGTCCACCGATCCCTCGCCTCCATTGTCCCCATCTGGAGTGGGGGGACAAAGGTCGCAGATGTCTTATTTTGGTGATTTCGAAAAGTTTACTGGTTTAGCCATGTTTGTTTGTTGTAGTACAGAGTTAGACTGATGGCCTTAATCTAAGTTGTCTTGTGCTTGTTGTTGTTGGTTGTTTGACTTGCATCCCACTGGGATTTTTGCACACAGCGTTGGTGTACGGTGATTTTTTTCTGCAATATTTTGCCGTCTTTTCTTGGATTTTCTGTTTGCACTCAGTCACATATTCACTTTAAGATGTTTTTTGTTCGTGTTTTTGTTTTTTGTTTGTTGCGGTTGCACCCGATTCAAGAGCCGAATGGCTCACAGGGCTATATCTAATAAATGAACTTGAAATGAACTTGAACAACGCACGTTCAAGAGGTGTGCGGCCATTAAGATCTTCGCTCTCGCAGGGAATGGAGCTCGACGGCAGGTGGAACGGAGAAATTCGAAGCCGGCGGAGCCTCGTGGTGAGGTGCGCGAGAGGGGAGGTCGGGTGAGAGGGAGGAGGGGGACGGCTGTTTTATGGGGGGAACAGGGTGGGAGCGGATTAACTGCTCTGTGGGACTTGAGCTCATGCTAAGCTCATTTGTCATGAGCAAGTTATTGTATTTGCAGTGCTTTGTTACATGGCTCCCCCCCACCCCCCCTCACTTTCGCACCTTTCCCTGCCCCTCTTTATTACCCCACTATGTTCGTTATCCTTCCCTCCACTATCTAAGCTAATAATAGTTTAAATTCATAAAGCGCCCTCAGGCAATCGTTCTCGTGTTGTCGCTTGCGGTCCCTACTTGGGTGGTGCAGAGCAGAGATCGCAACCGGGTACCCGATACCCGTACCCTACCCGATACCCGGCTAGCCGTGCCTGGCCGGGTACGGGTAGCCATTTGCGACCCTGGTGCGGCCGGATACGGGCACGGGTAGCCGCACGTGACTCACCCCAACCAATGAGTGAGAAGGCCGTGAGTCACTGGTGAGTAACCGACCCGGCCGGGTACGGGTACGGGTACCCGCTTGCGACCCTGATGCGGCCGGGTACGGGTACCCGTTTGCGACCCTGGTGCGGCCGGGTACGGGTAAGGAATCAAAACCCGTTTGCGACCTCTGGTGCAGAGAGCGCAAATTCCCGTCCCCCTTCTCGTTAAGCCCCCTCCCCCCGCGCGTTGTTCCCCACCCCCTGTATTGTGACCGGTGCTTTCTATTGAGGTCTTGTGTTGAGTCGCAACAAAAATTTAGAAACCAAAAAAAGACACGTAGCAGCTAGGCTGCCGCCCCCAACGTCTCGGCCCGACACAACGGACGCGACTCTTGAAAGCTCCGTCAACGAGCCAGCGTCTTACCTGGGTGGCGAGTAAGAGGACCGCACACAGGAACACTTTTTATTTATTTTAGAGAAGTGGCCCTCGGGGTGGCTCGAAGCTCTCGAGCGTCGAGCCGAGTTCCCGCGTACGAAACGAGGCAGCCGCTTCGTGGTTAAACAGAGTTTTCCGCTTTCCACGCTTATGATTTGCTTGAACGTCTACATTTTGTTCCTCCGATCAGCACGAGTTAGTTTACAGCCCGTTGCCCATCCATAGCAGAATAAAGGCCTCCCCACCCCGTGTCTGTCATTGGAGTTGTTTGACTATACTTCACCCAAACTGAAGGGTGACAGGTCTGCATCAGCTATCACCTGACCACACACAATTAGCACAATCAACCCACTATTGATGTCGTCAATTCCCCCGCACCTCCGAAAAGCACGCTTGGCTACGTACGGCGCGAAAAGAAGTTCAACTTGCATACATATGTAGTGTAATAACTCTAGATTTGAAGCTTTCGTGACTGCAAGGATTCAGACTCTTAGGTTCTTTCGGTGAAGTCACGTAGGTAAAAAATACAATTAAAAGTTAATTAAAGTAATAATGGAAATAAAATAATAAATCACGACGTTTCGGAGGCAACACAAGTCTCCGTCATCAGGTGGGATCGTCACAGCTAAAATGACTGCATCAAGTGCAGTAATTTTACGCAGCTAAAATTACTGCATCAAGTGATGCAGTAATGATCAGCTGCGATGGAGGTTCGCCGGATCGGACTGGGACCGCCGGGCCGGGCAGAGGTCGCAAACGGGTTTTGATTCCTTACCCGTACCCTACCCGAAATGAGTGACAAACGGTTACTCACCAGTGACTCACGGCCTACCCGTACCCGGCCGCACCAGGGTCGCAAACGGCTACCCGTACCCGGCCGGGTACGGGTAGCCGGGTATCGGGTAGGGTACGGGTATCGGGTACCCGGTTACGACCTCTGCCGCTGGGTAATGTCGGAAGCCGGGCAATCGCGTGCAGGACAATTCGATGCTCCTGCTGTGTAACTTGAAAAAGCACTCCCCCCCCCCCCCCCCCCCCCCCGGGAGAAAGCCTCACCCTCGTGTTCTTCCATTTTGATGATGCGCATCATCTTGTTCTGGCCAAAGTCGTCGATGATGGACGGAGCGATGTCTCCGATCTCTTCTGCACAGAACACCGCAGACACGGGAACAGCCGTTAAGGAAGCCACTGGAGGCTACGCGCAACTTTTACATCATCCAGACCGGTGGTTTCTTAAACTTTTACTTGCAGTCTGCACCCCCCCCCCTTTGGTTCTCAATCGTAAAAACAAAAAAAATGTACTGACGTGCCCTTGTCTTCTTGGTTCTTTCGGTAAAGTCTCCACGTAGAAGGGAAATAATAAAATAATACAAATAAAACATTATAAAATAATTCTCACGACGTTTCGGCCACAACGCAAGCAGCCGTCCTCAGGTGAAGAACAGGTCTGTCGGGAAGACAGCGTCTGAATGAAACACCTCTTGATATGCAAATTATTTTGTCAAGGCGCTCTTTCCCCTCCAACCCAGCTTAAATAGACGCTCCAAGCCTGGGGTGTGTCATTCAGACGCTGTCTTCCCGACAGACCTGGTCTTCACCTGAGGACGGCTGCTTGCGTTGTGGCCAAAACGTCGTGAGAATTATTTTATTAAGTTTCATTTTTATTATTTTATTATTTCCCTTCTACGTGACTTTACCGAAAGAACCAAGAAGATGAATCCCTGCAGTCACGAAAGCTTTAAATCGAAATTTGACGTGCCCTTGCTTAATTTGTGTTTTCGTTGATTTACCTTCTAAAAGAAAATCTGGCCACGTCTCGCACTCCCCCCAGAAAGGGCATCTCGCACCCCCAGGGGGTGCGTGCACTCCAGGTTAAGCACCACTGGTCTCGATTGAATACTCGTTCCTTTAAAACTGCTTTTTGTGTGTTTAGTTTGTTGTCCTTCCCCCGCGCACCTCAGATTAGCACTGTCGGCTATGTACGGTGGCGCGAAAGAAATTCAACGTACGTCCGTGAAAAGATCAAACAAAGCGAGCGACCCGGCCACACGGCACCACCAATAAATGTATTAATCGTAGGAAAATTTACTTTAAAAATCAAAATGTTGTTATCCTCCCCATCTATTGACATTTGTGTTAACTGTTATCTGCATCCCTGAATGTTTGAGGAAAAGCTATTAAAGACGCCCCTGCCGCCTACATCTCCCCTCTCATTTCACTCTACTCCTCTCCAGACACGCTCCGACCCGTCCCCTCTCATCTCACTCTGTTGCCCTACGCTCCAGTAACGTAGACTTACGGTCAAAATGCCTAGTTAAGCTCCTCTAGTCTGCGACGTGCTACCCCAGCCGCCCGCACTGCCGACTCCCTGTCCCTGTTTTTTTCTTCTTGGTTCTTTAGGTAAAGTCACGTAGAATGGAAATAATAAAATAATACAAATTAAACATAATAAAATTCAATTCTCACAACGTTTCGGCCACAACGCAAGCAGCCGTCCTCAGGTGGAGAACAGGTCTGTCGAGAAGACAGCGTCTGCAACGATCCATCTCCTGCACACTCAAGCCGAGCTCATCGCTCCACCTCTGTCGTGGATGTCCTCTTGGGCGAGGTTCCCTCCTTTAGCTGCCGACATTCGGCACCTTTTCTCGTCGCGTGTCCTGCCCAAGCCGACTAATATCTCCAATTTGCGTTTTTTTTTATCGAATCCCCGATGTTCCTCTTTCCGCCCCTGAATGTCTTAATATCACTCCCAGCATGCACCTTTCCATGCTTCTTACAGTTTATTCTTAAACTAAACTATTTAAAGCATTTTTTTTGTATTTTACCAGGTAAGGCCCAGAGCTATAGAACTAGTTTTCAGAAGCGACCTGGCCACAAATGATAGCTCAACGAACATGGCGTCTCACGTGGTAATTGATAGCAGTCAAATACTCTGAACGCGTATTTCTGAATGTGGAGTGGAAAAACCAGAGGACCCGCAGAAAAATCCACACAAACACCGCAAACTCCAAATATACTGGAATCCGGGTGGGAATCGAACCCAAGGCCTCCTGTAAACCAGGCGAGGTAGTTAACATCTCTACCCCTAACTGTGCTGTTTGCCTCTTGGTGCTTCGGATGTGCGCTCGGCAAAATGAAATTTGGTTCATGCTCTAAACGCAGCGGCGTGCGTCCCTCACCATTTTCCGTGCAATTCAGATGCTGCTCCACCATGGCGGCCTCTTCCGCGCCGCCGCCGGGACTCGAGCCACCGACGCAAGTTCCGGCTCCGTCCATGGCTCCCAGCCTCCGCGCGGATAGCAGCAGCTCCCGGCTCAGGCCGCTGAACAGAGCGAGCAGCACGTCCACCAGCCCTCCCAGCGTCACGTCGCCCGGGGAGGAGGCGGCCGCGGCGGCGTCGTCGTCGTCCCAGCGCGGAGTCCCGGCGCCGTCTTGGTGGGTCTCGGCGCCCCGCAGGGCCTTCACCACCTGCCGCAGCACGGCGTAGAAGCCGAAGGGCAGGCGGTCGCGCGCCGCGGCCAGCAGCTCGGCACGCACGAGGCCGTCCCCGACGCAGGCGCGCAGGACCCCGTAGTCCCGGATGCCCAGCTCCGAGTCCATGGCCCGGGCCACCTCCTCGTTCACGCCCTGCGCCTCCAGCCACGCCGGGAAGTCCCGGTTTGGCTCCAGCACCGCAGCGCACGCCATTTCTGTACGGGTACCGAGAGATCATGGGATGACGTCAGTGCACAATCGTAAAAAAAAAAAAACGCTGGCCAGTTCAAGTTCATTTCAAATTCATTTATTAGGTATAGCCCTGTGAGCCATTCGGCTCTTGAATCGGGTGCAACTGCAACAAACAAAAACATGAACAAAAATCATCTTAAAGTGAATGTGACTGAGTGCAAACAGAAAATCCAAGAAAAGACAGCAAAATATTGCAGAAAAAAAATCACCGTACACCAACGCTGTGTGCACAAATCCCAGTGGGATGCAGTGAAGGTCTTTACCACATTCTCAATATGCCTGAAGGCTCCCACAATGCCCACAATTCATCCAGCTCCTATACGTAGCGGTTATTACGGGAGAAACGGCGTACGAGAAACACAGGGGTGTCTGCACCCGCACACACGGGTGGCCACACCGACGTCCGCATCCGTTATCCCCCATGACCCCGCCCCTCCGAGGGGATCTCTATAAAAGGCGGGGAGCCAGAGAGCTCGGGGGAGTTCGACACGAAGCTGACCAGTAAAGACTGAAGACTCGGAGATTAGGCCATGGGACTCCCCTGTCTCGCTGCCCTTGTCAGGGCCGAGCTGGGTAAGCCAGCGGCACGGCCCAAGAGCTCCCGGACCTCTACCCTTGTGAGGGCAAGGCCGGCTTAGCTGGGTGCCGAGATCTGTGCTTGCCAGGGCCAGATCAGTCAGCCTCCTGTAGCCCATTAGAGGAGGACTGGGGAACAGGACAGAGGGCTTAGTACTAGGGTGGGTTCCCCCATAGTACGGGTGAAGGGGCCGTTACCCCTTCAACTATTGTGTCTGTCCGTGAGTTAATAAAAAGAGTGTGCCTCAACTTAGACCTCGTCTCCTCGAACTCACTACATATACATGAACGGATCTTGTTCACACATTTTTTTTTTGCTACAATTACTGAGCTGACATTACTAGTTTTTTTTTTTTTTAAACCAAATCGCGCTGAATGTGCCCAAGCTCGGCAGACGTTGGAAGCCAAGCATGCGTTGCGCCTGCTCAGTGCTTGAGACGGGGAATTGACCAAGCGGTGTAAGGCAGCTTCTGTTGGACCACACCGCACTGAACCCTGTAACCCGAGATCGAGTCTGTGGGGAGGCAGTCATCCAGCAGTGCATTGACAAGGGGATACACATATGTATTACAGGTACTGCCACCCTTTGCAGCAGTGGTTCTCAACCTTGTTTGGCGACTACTGCATTATCTCAACCGAGTTCGAGCCGCCTTGCCCGACCCAAACGTGGTGCTGAGAAATCAACGTTATGAATAACGAACATTGACATTTTACCCAATTGCCACATTTTGTGAGGCATCCTCAACTAGCTGGCAACTGCAAGCGATTTAAACAAAAAATCCAAATGGACGCAAAATGTTCGCGTTCGCTGGTTACTCTTGGAAAACCCACACAACGGCGTTACGATCAACGAGTTTAAAAAGTATCACCCGTAAAATCCTTTATATCCTTTATATGCGTGGCGGCTAGAGTCCTCTCGTCCTCTGGCTTGAGATGGCTGCCACCTATGGGTCAGATGATTGTCTGCCAGTATTAAGCAATTGGTAATTAAATATTTAATCTGTTTTCCCTAAACAGTGTAAAATTTTGGAAAAATTGTCACAAACATTAATTGTCTCGCACAACGAGTCTGTGTGCAAAATGTCAGCTCGATTGGATCACGGGAAGTGGGTTAAAAAACGACCGAAAGATTTGCACGGTCGTAAGCAAGCAAGCAAGCATGCAAGCAAGCAAGCAAGCGAACTTAATATAAAGGATTTAAATAGGCATCTTAGCTCGTTCTAGGTTCACCGAACGGGATTTAAATGTCGTAGAAGTTATTTCATATTGGCAGATGAATGCGCGAGTAATCACCAATGGCTTTCGTGCACGAAATAGTTCGACGCATTTGGAAATCGTCACCTCACGTACCCACGTACCCCGCTGGGACATTGCCACGTAGTAAACCCACCCCCGCCCCAGAGGTCCACGCATCTCCGGTTGAGAATCACTTCTTGATGGTCTATTCGTTAGGCCTGACTTGTGTTTTTGAGGTAAGTACAATCAGGTACTGTTCGCAATCATCTTCTTGGTTCTTTCGGTAAAGTCACGTAGAAGGGAAATAATAAAATAATAAAAATAAACATAATAAGCTTGTGTTGCCTCCGAAACGTCGTGAGAATTATTTTATGATGTTTTATTTTTATTATTTTATTATTTCCCTTCTACGTGACTTTACCGAAAGAACCAAGAAGATGAATCCATGCCGTCACGAAAGCTTTAAATCGAAATGTTCGCAGTTAGTTTAGAGCCCTGTATCCCACCTCGTGTCTGTCATTGGAGTTGTTCGACCATACTTCACCAAACCGGTGAGTGCGCGCGTTGGTGTGTCAGGTCTGGATCAGACATCACCAACCACACACCATTACCTCAATTATCCCATAATTGTGTTGTCCCCCCCCCCTACGGTACCTCCGATCAGCACGGTTGGCTACGTGCGGTGCGAAAAAAGTTCAATATACAGTACATAGACTCACACAGAGACCCATAGACTCACACGGAGATCCATAGACTCACACAGAGATCCATAGACTCACACAGAGATCCGTAGACTCACACAGAGATCCATAGACTCACACAGAGATCCGTAGACTCACACAGAGATCCATAGACTCACACGGAGATCCATAGACTCACACAGAGACCCATAGACTCACACGGAGATCCATAGACTCACACAGAGATCCATAGACTCACACAGAGATCCGTAGACTCACACAGAGATCCGTAGACTCACACAGAGATCCGTAGACTCACACGGAGATCCATAGACTCACACGGAGATTCATAGACTCACGCAAAGATCCATAGACTCCCACAGAGACCCATAGACTCACATAGAGACCCATAGACTCATACAGAGACCCATAGACTCACATAGAGACCCATAGACTCATACAGAGACCCATAGACTCGCACAGAGATTCATAGACTCGCACAGAGATCCATCGAATCACACAGAGATCCATCGACTCACACAGAGACCCATAGACTCACACAGAGACCCATAAACTCACACAGAGATTCATAGACTCACACAAAGATCCACAGACTCACACAGAGATTTATAGACTCACACAGAGACCCGTAGACTCACACAGAGACCCATAGACTCACACAAAGACCCATAGACTCACACAGAGACCCGTAGACTCACACAGATATTCATAGACTCACACAGAGACCCATAGACTCACACAGAGACCCATAGACTCACACAGAGATCCATAGACTCACACAGAGACTCAAAGACTCACACAGAGACCCATAGACTCACACAGAGACCCGTAAACTCACACAGAGACCCGTAGACTCACACAGAGACCCATAGACTCACACAGAGACCCATTGACTCACACAGAGACCCATAGACTCACAGAGACCCATAGACTCACACAGAGACCCATAGACTCACACAGAGACCCATAGACTCGCACAGAGACCCATAGACTCACACAGAGACCCATAGACTCACACAGAGACCCATAGACTCACACAGAGACCCATAGACTCACAGAGATCCATAGACTCACACAGAGACCCATAGACTCACACAGAGACCCATAGACTCACACAGAGACCCATAGACTCGCACAGAGATCCATAGACTCGCACAGAGACCCAAAGACTCACACAGAGACCCATAGACTCACACAGAGACCCATACTCACACAGAGACCCATAGACTCACACAGAAACCCATAGACTCACACAGAGACCCATAGACTCACACAAAGACTCAAGATTCACACAGAGACCCATAGACTCACACAGAAACCCATAGACACTCACACAGAGACCCATAGACTCACACAGAGACCCAGACACTCACACAGAGACCAATAGACTCACATAGAGACCCATTGACTCACACAGAGACCCATAGACTCACACAGAGACCCATAGACTCACACAGAGATCCATAAACTCACACAGAGACCCATAGACTCACACAGAGACCCATAGACTCACACAGAGACCCATAGACTCACACAGAGACCCATAGACTCACACAGAGACCCATAGACTCACACAGAGACCCATAGACTCACACAGAGACCCACAGACTCACACAGAGACCCATAGTTGTCCTTAATTCCCCCGGCACCTCCGATTAGCACCGTTGGCTACGTACGGCGCGAAAGAAGTTCAACACACGTGCATCCATGATTCATCAAGACTACGTATATTTTGTTAAGGGAATCACTTGAACCATTTTACATTAGAATTATTGCCTTTCAGTTTTTATACAGGTAAAAAAAACAACGTTTTGTCGACAGCTATTAACGGTACTACGAAACAAATGTTAACAAAAGCGGGTGTGGGAGGAGCGGTGGCGCAGTGGTTAGCGCCGTGAAACAGCCGAGCGGCGGATTTGCGGGTTCGAAAGGCTGAACATCGCCTTCGACACCGTCACGGAGCGGTGAAGTATGGTCAAACAACCCTCCGATGTGTATCTTGCCTAACACGACGGCGCGGGTGGCTTGTGAGGCCTTAACATCGCCCAGCTGTGCATTGAGAACGTCTTCAGGGAATGTAAAATTACATTTTTTTTTAAATGCTTCACACACACACGGGGCGACGTCTTTAAAAGTCGACTCGTGCGCGGTTGTCGTCGCCGTTCGTTTAATTACGGCGAAAGAGTACGAAAAAAATAAGTATTGCCAAGATTATTTTTTGTTAATTTCAATTTTTCTCACCTTGGCGAAGCCCGACAGCCTAGGCCGCGAAATTCGCCTCAGCAGCAGCAGGCGACTTTTTTAACCCCTACACCCCACCTCCGTTTGAAGGAAAAAAACTTAAACGGAACAAAAAAATGTGCTTTATTTTTAGAACCCAACTCTGCGTACCTGCCGCGGCTTTAATCGCCGTGAAAAAAAGTAAAAAAAAATGTAAATCTTCGAACGGCGATAAGCAACTGAACGAACGGCGGAAGCGAGGGAGGGCGCCCAAGGAGAAGCCTGTGGCCTAGATCCGCCCCGAATCGATCCGTCGATTGCCAACTCGGGGAATCGAATCTATTTTTTTTGTTTGTTTGTTCTTCTCGCGAATTATTTGATTGAAGAAAGGGTGCAAATTTGTGTTTTTCATTATTATCGCGTAGAAACTGGCGAAAGGACGTCGACGTCGGCTGACGGGAGGACAAACGAGACGACGCGGTTATTAAAAATCCACAAGCGATTCCGATTCGCGAATCGATTCGTAATCGTTGTCGCGCGCGTTTCGGTGCTGTCCGCGGGCGGGAAAAGTTGGGTGGGAGGGGCGATTCTGATCGGGAATCGACGCGAATCGATTAGTATTGATCTCGCGTCTTATCGATTTTTTTAAATCTCCCTCCGCCCACCGCCGTAGAATTCCCATCGCGAGTGATTGACCCCCCCCTCCCACATTGGTGGAGTGTATCCGAAAGAATCGATTTCCGCGCTGCGAATTCTTTGAAAATGTATTTCTATAAAAAATCGATTGTTAAAAATCGATTTACGCAAAGTTCACGATAATGAAGAATCGATTTTTATTCTGTAATCGAATTTTATTTTATTCGACGAAATAGTTTTTTTTTAATTAAATCTCTTTTTTATGAAATGTTTTTCTATTGAAAATCGATTTATTTATTGAAAATCGATGTTTTTTGTATCGCAAAAAATCGATACTTGTGTCCCTAACTGGACATATGTTTAAAAAAAGAGCTCTATAGCTCATCGGATTCCTCCAGTATCAATACACATTCTGATTCAATAACCAGGAGACTCACCCCGCGCATTCCAGCCCCCCCCTTCCCCCATCACCATCAAAGACCAATATCCATAGGTAGAGGTTTTTGTTGGGTTATATCGCATACATGTGTAGCGTCGGAAATACACAACACATACCGCCCGGTGTAGTTGCGGGCACAGACGCATCGGGGGTGCCACCCTGAGCTGGGGAAAGACAGAGAGCAGAGGTCGCAAACGGGTTTTGATTCCTTACCCGTACCCGGCCGCACCAGGGTCGCAAACGGGTACCCGTACCCGGCCGTACCCATACCCTACCCGTAGCCAGGTACGGGTATCGGGTACCCGATTGCGACCTCTGGGATGAAGCCACGTTGCAGGCGCGGGTGGGTTGATTCTATGAACTTGAATTGTGAGAAGAGACAAGACGTTGGGAAATGAGTGACAAACGGTGACTCACCAATGACTCACGGCCTACCCGTACCCGTAACCGGCCGCACCAGGGTCGCAAACGGCTACCCGTACCCGGCCGGGTACGGGTAGCCGGGTATCGGGTAGGGTACGGGTATCGGGTACCCGGTTGCGACCTCTGACAGAGAGAGCCGGACCGTTGAGGGGCCGGGTTCTCCCCAACCCTGACCCCAGGTGAAGGGTTGGGGGGTTCTTCCAGAGCCCTCTGGAAGGTTCCAGAAAGGGGGCGGTACCGGGGGCGGAGAGTCCCCTGCCAAACTACACGTCATTAGCGTGTAGTTTGGCTGGGAAGCGTGGTCAGTTAGCGAAGTGCTACAGATCCGTTCGCTAGCTAACACACACACACACAGCGAGCAGCCGAGATCAAGTAAGCCACACGTAACAACAGAACGCGATGTACAGCGAATTGTTTTATTAAACACGATTACTCCTAAACAGTGTGTAGGCCTCTGTCGTCATACACTACACACACACACCAATCTTACCAAAAATGAAATCCAGACCACAAAAAGACAATCTTATCTCTCTGCCTCTCCCTCGGCTAAAAAACATTCCACCCATCTGCGGAGATGAGCACTGTGGGAGCGCCATGGTGGCGAGATGTGAACTACCTCGCCTGGTACGCAGGAGGGCATGGGTTCGATCCTGACCCTGACGCCTGCTGTATATTTGGAGTTTGCGTGTGTCTCTCTCTCTCATCATCATCACGGTGGCTATGAGATGTTAACTACCTCGCCTGATACGCAGGAGGTTGTGGGTTCGATCCTGACCCTGACGCTTGCTGTATATTTGGAGTTTGCATGTCTCTCTCTCTCTCGCCATGGTCGTGTGGATTTTTAGTTTCCAGGTCCTCAGGTTTTTCCCTCCGGAATCAACATGCGTTTATTGTCGTTGGCTGCTATAAATGTCCACACGATGTTGATAATCCCACTTCGTTGAGCTATCATTTGTGATGGCCGAGGTCGCTTCTGAAAAACAGCTAAAATTTAAATAGTTGAATGTAGTCGATGGGTCTCTATGCATCTCTACATGTTTCAGAGTATTTGGCTGCTATAAATTTCCACATGACGATAACCCCCACCCCCTTCGTCGAGGCACCGTTTGTGGCCTGGTCGCTTTTTCAAAAGAGCCACGCAGCTCGGTTTAAACACAGCAACAGTTTGACGATCCGTTCACGGGCCGTCACGCGTCGTCGGAGAGCGCGGCACCGATGGCCCCACCGCTGTGGGCGCTTGGCGGTTCCGCGTGGGCGTGCGTACGCAGGTGGCGAATCAGGGTGCAGTGCTGGAAAAAGTCGAGGCCGCACTCCTCGCAGTGGTACGGCTTCTCGCCCGTGTGCACCCGCCGCTGGTGCACGATGAGGTTCGGCTTCATCATGAACCTGACGTCGCACAAGTCGCAGCGGTACGGCTTCTCGCCCGTGTGCACGCGCATGTGGACCTGCAGGTTCACTTTTTGCGAGAAGGCCCGCGTGCAAACCTTGCAAGAGTAGGGCTTCTCCTTCTCCCTCGCCGGCGATCCTCCGCCGCCGCCGCCGCCGCCGCAGGCAAGCCGTGGCGGGACGGACGGACGCGTAGTGGACAACCGTGGGGTCACGTGACCCGCGCGTCGCCACGCTTGAACGTGCGACGTTTCTCCCGACGACTGCGGCAACGCGCGTGGCCGGCGTTCCATGGCTGTGGCGGCCTCGTTCTGGAAGTCCGGGTGGGAGGGTCTTGCGACGACGCCGTCACCTGACGAGGGGAGGAACGGCGGTTATCTCTTGCAGCAAGTTAAGATTCGGCATCGGGGCCTTCGAGTTTCAAGCTCATTGATTAGGTGTAGCCCTGTGAGCCGTTCGGCTCTTGAATTGGGTGCAACCGCAACAAACAAAAAAACATGAACAAAAAAACATCTTAAAGTGAATATGTGACTGAGTGCAAACTGAAAATCCAAGAAAAGACGGCAAAATATTGCAGAAAAAAATCACCGTACACCAACGCTGTGTGCAAAAGTCCCAGTGGGATGCAAGTCAAACAACCAACAACAACAACCACAAGACAACTTAGATTAAGGCCATCAGTCTAACTCTGCACTACAACAAGCAAACATGGCCAAACAAATACACTTTTCGAAATCACCAAAATAAAGCCATGAACGCAATGAAACAGTCATCATAGGAACTGTGACGCCTGGCTCAAACTGAGGCGGCTTAAGTGAGCCGGCTCGCAGCCACACTGACCTTGAGCCCGTTCCCAGCTACGAATAGTTCGGGGGTAGGGGGGGGGAGGCAGGGGGGGGAGGAGTAGTGGGTCAGTGACCGGCGACGGTGTAGTACGGTCCAACGAACGGCAATGACCGACCGACACGACCGTGGCCGAGACCTTTCGTGAAGCGGTGGCTTGACAAACGGCCGGAGAACAATGCGATGCATTTCTTCGATAGATTTCTATTTAAAGCTTTCGTGACTGCAGGGATTCATCTTCTTGGTTCTTTCGGTAAAGTCGTCACGTAGAAGGGAAGTAATAAAATAATAAAAATAAAACATAATAAAATTTCGATTTAAAGCTTTCGTGACTGCAGGGATTCATCTTCTTGGTTCTTTCGGTAAAGTCGTCACGTAGAAGAGAAGTCATAAAATAATTAAAATAAAACATAATAAAACAATTCTCACGACGTTTCGGCCACAACGCAAGCAGCCGTCCTCACCTCTCGCTTGCATTGTGGCCAAAACGTCGTGAGAATTATTTAATAATGTTTTATTTGTATTATTTTATTACTTCCCTTCTACGTGACTTTACCGAAAGAACCAAGAAGATCCAAGAAGATGTATTCGATAGATTTTTCAATGGGGAGCGTTTACAGACGCCAGCGCGGCGACGCCCCAGCGGACTGCCGACAAGTGCCGCACCTTCGTGGGTCGCGGGCCTCTGAGCGCGGTCCGCCTGGCTCCACCTGGAGACCGCGGAGTCCTCGGCCGGGGTATGATGCTCCATCTCACGTGCACGAGTCCACACGATCGCCGCCACACCGCCGCCCCCTGCGTCAGCATCGGCGCACAAGCAGAACGGTTTGGGGAAACGTTCCCCGCGTCTGTCCCAGGAACGCTCAGTGACGCGACGACACCCTTAGTAATCCCACCGCGTCGGTTGGCCGGGTTTGCGGATCGCAGACAGCGGTGCGAGCGCCGTACACTTGCCGTGCCGTGTGCCGCTTTCTCCTGGCGAGCCAGGGTTTGGTTTGTTGTACCTCCGATTAGCACGGTTGGCTACGTACGGTGCGAAAGAATTTCAACGTGCGTACACGGCACCTCCTCATTGCTAATCTCTCACGATACATTGTAGTGACATAAAAAGGGAGGGGCTGCTGGGGGCTCTGGGACCCTGGGCGGGCCAGGCGCTTAAGCCTCTTGGCGCCAGGCGTTGGGTTCGCGGGTGGCCCAGGCGCTTAAGCCGCTTGGCGCCACCAACGGGGGGGGCTGTGTGTGCTCTGTGGGATATCTGGGGGCGCACACGGCCCCACCCCTCGTTGGGGACGAGGCATAAAAGCGGAGCTCCCTGGACGATCAGGGCCAGTTGTAGCTCAAGACCCAAGACCCAAGACCAGCCATCTGAGGACCCTGGGATGCTGTGAGAGCCAGTGGTGGGACTCTGGAACTCCCGACTCTACAACCTTGTGAGGGCGAGTTCCAGAGCGTAGCCAGAGTAGTGTATCTAGGCTGTGTAGCTAGGCTGTGTACCTGGGAGCTGTTACAGAGCATCAGGACTGTTGGCTTTGGAGTGTTGGAGTGTTGGATTGTAATAAAGAAGTTACCTCTACAAGTGTCTCCGGAACCCGTTACACAATGGCCACCCCCACAGCTTCGTTTGTCAAGATTTACCCGATCTAACATTTACGTGCAAATTTCATCACTTGCCCCGCCCACTGACCCTTGGGCTACACCCATCCCAAACCTTTATACTGGTAGGAACCTCCTGGTTCCACCAGCCCACAGGAGATTATTGTGTCCGTCCGTCGTGCAGGGAGGGGCTGGGTGGGGAGGGGCTGCGTGGGGAGGGTGGGGAGGGGCTGGGTGGGAGGGTGGGGAGGGGCTGGGTGGGGAGGGTGGGGAGGGGCTGGGTGGGGAGGGGCTGGGTGGGGAGGGGAGGGTGGGGAGGGGCTGGTTGGGGAGGGTGGGGCTGGGTGGGGGGTGGGAGGGGTGGGGCTGGGTGGGGAGGGGCTGGTCACCCCGTGGTGCCCTTATAAAACTCAACGTTTAACCTACTCACGCCGGCTTGTGCCCGCCCTCACAGTCGGCCATATTTGCGGAATACACCACGCCGCCGTTGACCCTGCAGGCCATTGACCGAGCAACCCAACGTTCCTACCAGCTCCCTCCGCAGGAGGAATGTGTTAACTCCTTGCCTTAGCAGCTCTCCCGCGATATTTCTCACCTGATGACGATTGCTTGTGTTGCGATCGAAACGTCGTGATATTGTTATTATTTTTATTATTTTTTATATCTACGTGGCTTTACCGAAATACCCAAAGAGTATAATTGTCTAGTTGTGTTTCTCCCCCTTGCGATGGGACTTTGTAGGATGAACGTTGAGACTTACAAGGGGCACGGGGTGACCAATGAGGTCTGAATTGGTCTGTAATCAGGTGGTAGGGCACTGATAAGGGGTTGACGGCTATGAAGTAGCCAAAGGAGGAATCCGATGAGCTCTTTATTGCGGAAACCAACCCTTCATGGTGGAAATTCTAACACGCTTCACAGCCATGACCGAGGCAGGATGGACAATAGGGGACAGTCCACAACATTCTTGGTTCCATATTCAGGAGACAACGATTTTTCCAATCGTATATAATTGGCGCTTATTCATTCAGGAAAGCCTCAGACAGAGAGGGAGCGAAAGAGGCCTTAGCGACGTGGTGGGGGGTGACCCCACACGTGTCCCCATACTTTACCGTGCGTGTCGCCCGAATGCGACGACGTGCAAGGCCTGTATTCCATCACGGCTTCGACCTCGTCCTGGAAGCCCGAGTGGGAAGGCGCTGCAGCAGTGAAGCCGCCACCTGATGACCGGGGGAGGAGATGGAGGGGGGGTGGGGAGGAAATATGATTGGTTCTTGCAGCAGGGCACAAGAGGGGCGGCTGAGATTCAGGCCGAGTATTCCTGGTAAGATTAAAAACCCAATAAGTATAACCCGTAAAAACAAAGTTTTTCACTATAAATCCTTTATATGCGTGGCGGCTAGAGTCCTCTCGTCCTCTGGCTTGAGATGGCCGCCACCTATGGGTCAGATGATTGCATTGCACCATTAAGCAATTGGTAATTAAATATAATATTTTGTCCTAAAAAGTGTAAAATTTTGGAAAAAAATTTTCACGAACATTCATTGTCACGCACAACGAGTCTGTGTGCAAAATGTCAGCTCGATTGGATCACGGGAAGTGGGTTAAAAAACGACCGAAATATTTGCACGGTCGTAAGCAAGCAAGCAAGTGAACTTAATATAATGGATTTTAAAATGTGTAATGTGAGGTTACATCCGGGTCGTTGACGGATCACAACTCGTCACGATGATTGGCTCTGCCAGTCCTGGTCCATAGCCAATGGGGAGATGAGTCAGGGGCGTGGCCCTGACGTGATGGGATGGTGACAGCTGCAAGTAGAGGATTGGTTCTGCTGGCTTTAGCCACAGCCAATGGGGAGACGAGTCAGGGGCGTGGTCCCGGGAGCCTACCGGTGGAGTCTGGAATATTCCATAGAGGCTAACCAGGATTGGTGGAAACGTACCACGTGACCCGGGTATTAAATAGGGGTGGAGACGAACGACACGTGGTCAGAACTGGAACAAACGGAGGGGTGAGGCCACGTGGGAGCGGGGTCCAGGCTGCCAAGTGGCTACGTGTCTCTCTCTCTCTATCCCTCTCACGCTGCCTGTCAGCAGCGTGGAGGAGTGTTGTAATGAAAAGCGAATAAAGACCGGATTCCAGAAGTCGCTTCAACGACCTTTATTACAAATGAATCGAAAAAGTTATAGCAGATGCGGGGGTAAAAAGTTGACCCAACAGGATTGTATGTCTTCTTGGTTCTTTCGGTAAAGTCACGTAGAAGGGAAGTAATAAAATAATAAAAATAAAACACAATAAAATAATTCTCACGACGTTTCGGCCACAACGCAAGCAGCCGTCCTCAGGTGAAGACCAGGTCTGTCGGGGAGACAGCGTCTGAATGAGCACCACCAGGCTTGGCAGCGTATATTTAAGCTGGGTTGGAGGGGGAAGGGCGCCTTGACAAAGGAATTTGCATATTTTGTTTTTTCTAAAGAAATTTGTTTACCTTTCCTATACTCATCCTATCGTCTGTTTGTACTGTTGTTGTTGTTGTTGTATCGTGCCCACGTGCCCACCTGCCCCTGCTGGGCATCTGTGATGAAGAGCTTGATAACGCATCGGATTCCTCCTCCAGTATAAATAACAAGTAAACCCGTAAAAACAAAGTTTTTCACTCTAAATCCTTTATATGCGTGGCGGCTAGAGTCCTCTCGTCCTCTGGCTTGAGATGGCTGCCACCTATTGGTCAGATGATTGTCTGCCAGTATTAAGAAATTGGTAATTAAATATTTAATTTGTTTTCCCTAAACAGTGTAAAAGTTTGGAAAAAAATTTTCACGAACATTAATTGTCTCGCACAACGAGTCTGTGTGCAAAATGTCAGCTCGATTGGATGACGGGAAGTGGGTTAAAAAACGACCGAAAGATTTGCACGGTCGTAAGCAAGCAAGCAAGCACGCAAGCACGCAAGCAAGCAAGCAAGCGAACTTAATATAAAGGATTTTAAAAAAATTCTGATTCTGAAGTCACAGCTCAAGTGAACCGGCTCAAAGTCACGAGGGGCGCCGTGGTGGCTAGGAGATGTTCACTCCCTCGCCCGGTATGCAGGAGGTCGTGGGTCCGATTCCGACCCCTGACGCCTGCTGCTGTATATGTGGAGTTAGCGTATCTCTCTTCCGCGCGGTCGCGTGGATCTTTCTCTGGGTCCTCCCGGGGTTTTTCCTCCTCCGCGTTTAGAATCAACATCGCACGCTTCGAGTGTTTGGGTGCTGCTATAAATGTCCACGCGAGGACGATAAAAGCCCACTCTATTGAGCTATCATCATTTTTGATAGCCAGGTTGCTGCTGAAAAAAGAGCTACATAGATTTCGATTTAAAGCTTTCGTGACTGCAGGGATTCGTCTTCTTGGTTCTTTCGGTAAAGTCACGTAGACGCTCCAAGCCTGGGGCGTGTCATTCAGACGCTGTCTCCCCGACAGACCTGTTCTTCACCTGAGGACGGCTGCTTGCGTTGTGGCCGAAACGTCGTGAGAATTGTATTTTATAACGTTTTCTTTTTATTATTTTATTATTTCCATTCTATGTGACTTTACCGAAAAAACCTAAGAATAAGAGCTACATAGGTTCGGTGGCAATTAAACTTTGCAAAATAAAAAAAGTAGCAAACAAAGTAGACTAACCGGGAGGGCGGCCGCGGATAATTCAAATGTATCTACTTTTCACGGTTCTCTCTGACAAAAACCACTAATATAGATAGATACAGGTTACGTTTTCAGTTCATCTGCAATCGCACGGTTTATTAAATGAAAACTCACAAACATAAATGATCGGAGAAATCACTCAAAATGAAGGACAGCTGACGATTTCGATTGCAACTTTTTCGATTTTAGAACGAACGCTAACGATCGATGCGCATGCTCAGTGATATCCCTACTCCCTCCCTTTGGTGCTGCTAATCCTGCACAATGCACGGGCATAATATGACTTTGAAACCCCCCCCGCCCACCTCCTACGCATTCCACAAGTAGTGACTAATCCCATATCTGCATTTCCCATAAATATGCTAAATCCCTCTTGATATGCAAATTATTTTGTCAAGGCGCTCTTCCCCCGCCAACCCAGCTTAAATATGCGCTGCCAAGCTTGGTGGTGTTTCATTCAGACTCTGTCTTCTCGAGAGCCCTGTTCTTCACCTGAGGACAGCTGCTTGCGTTGTGGCCGAAATGCCGTGAGAATTATTTTATTAGGTTTTATTTTTATCATTTTATTATTTCCTGTACATATGCCCGCGTGTTGGAACGTCTTTCGCACGCAATAACGGACACGGGAGTAGGCGAGCCAGCCACGCACGTCAACCGCTACCCTGTCGGAAATTCCAGCTCCACCCGGGCCAGCTGAGGGCTCAACCGGATCGATGGCGACGCGCAACAACCGCGAGCTACCGGCCTGCGACGTCACGGGGCGAGCGAGCGTTACCATCGGGCTGCTCCACTTTAACGAAATGAAGGCCGTGGCTGCAGTCCATGTCCAGGGTTGGGGTCACGGTCGGATCGTCTGGGGACAGGCAAGACACACGGCTGTGGCGTCAGTCATCGTCCGTGAGTTGCCCTCGAACGGGCTGATCCTGCAGGTAACCAAATACGGGGACTGCTCTACTTGCGAGCATTTGACCTGCGAACTTTCAGAGGCGGGAACAAACCAAGTCCGTATGTCCAGTTGCGACTGTTCGGACCGAGAGTCGTAAGTTCAACCGCTGCACAACAGATGGCGGTGATGGCATCTACATCTGCAGAACGTGAAGAACCAGTGGCACCTACATCTGCAGAACGTGAACAACCAGTGGCATCTACATCTGCAGAACGTGAACAACCAGTGGCATCTACATCTGCAGAACGTGAAGAACCAGTGGCATCTACATCTGCAGAACGTGCATAACCAGTGGCATCTACATCTCCAGAACGTGAAGAACCAGTGGCATCTACATCTGGAAAACGTGAAGAACCAGTGGCATCTACATCTGCAGAACGTGAATAACCAGTGGCATCTACATCTGCAGAACGTGAACACCCAGTGGCGTCTACATCTGCAGAACGTGAAGAACCAGTGGCATCTACATCTGGAGAACATGAAGAACCAGTGGCATCTACATCTGCAGAACGTGAATAACCAGTGGCATCTACATCTGCAGAACGTGAACACCCAGTGGCATCTACATCTGCAGAACGTGAAGAACCAGTGGCATCTACATCTACAGAACGTAAAGAACCAGTGGCATCTACATCTGCAGAACGTGAACACCCAGTGGCATCTACATCTGCAGAACGTGAAGAACCAGTGGCATCTACATCTGCAGAACGTGAAGAACCAGTGGCATCTACATCTGCAGAATGTGCAGAACCAGTGGCATCTACATCTGCAGAACGTGAATAACCAGTGGTATCTACATCTGCAGAACGTGAAGAACCAGTGGCATCTACATCTGCAGAACGTGAAGAACCAGTGGCATCTACATCTGCAGAATGTGAAGAACCAGTGGCGTCTACATCTGCAGAACGTGAAGAACCAGTGGCATCTACATCTGTAGAACGTGAAGAACCAGTGGCATCTATATCTGCAGAACGTGAAGAACCAGTAGCATCTACATCTGCAGAACGTGAACACCCAGTGGCGTCTACATCTGCAGAACGTGAAGAACCAGTGGCATCTACATCTGCAGAACGTGAAGAACCAGTGGCATCTACATCTGCAGAACATGAAGAACCAGTGGCATCTACATCTGTAGAACGTGAAGAACCATTGGCATCTACATCTGCAGAACGTGAAGAACCAGTGGCATCTACATCTGCAGAACGTAAAGAACCAGTGGCATCTACATCTGCTGAACGTGAACATCCAGTGGCATCTACATCTACAGAACGTGAAGAACCAGTGGCATCTACATCTGCAGAACATGAAGAACCAGTGGCATCTACATCTACAGAACGTGAAGAACCAGTGGCATCTACATCTGCAGAATGTGAACACCCAGTGGCATCTACATTTGCCGAACGTGAAGAACCAGTGGCATCTACATCTGCAGAACGTAAAGAACCAGTGGCATTTACATCTACAGAACGTGAAGAACCAGTGGAATCTACATCTGCAGAACGTAAAGAACCAGTGGCATCTACATCTGCCGAACGTGAACACCCAGTGGCATATACATCTGCGGAACGTGAAGAACCAGTGGCATCTACATCTGTAGAACGTGAAAAACCAGTGGCATATACATCTGTAGAACGTGAACACCCAGTGGCATCTACATCTGCAGTGGCATCTACATTTGAACCAGAGCTCTCTGGGAATAACACGGGGGGGGGACTGGGGACTGCGGGAAAGCGGCCCCCCCCCTGCCCCCCCCCGCCCCCCCGCCCCCCCCGCCCCCCCCCGCCCCCCCCCCCTCCCCGGGACTGCCGAGGGCTCGCACTACCGCGGGGAGACTCCGCTTTGATCCGATGCACGGCGAGGCTTGAGTCCGAGTCGACGTCCAGAGTCGTCTCGGTCAACGCCGGCTCATCTGAGATGAGAGAGGGGGACACGCACACAGCGACTTGAGGCACGCGGGTAGCATCTAGAAGCATCCGCCAGCATGCCGATGCCGCGTGCGACGCTACCGCCGAGGCGGCCGCACGACCGCCTGTTCCTACCCGCGCGACGTTAGTTCCCTCTTATTCTTAGGTTGTTTCGGTAAAGTCACGTAGGTAAAAAATTAAAATGAATAAACGTAAAAAAAATTAACCCGTAAAAACTAAGTTTTTCACTATAAATCCTTTACATGCGTGGCATCGGTTTTATTTTATTATTCATTTCTGTTTTTCTTGAGTAAGAGTTTTATTTTGATCACATTGGTATTTTAAATTAAATATGACATTTTTTTTTTCCTAAAAAGTGGAAAATTTTGGAAAAAATTTTTTTTACGAAAGTAAATTGTCACGCACAACGAGTCTGTGTGCAAAATGTCAGCTCGATTGGATCACGGGAAGTGGGTTAAAAAACGACCGAAAGATTGGCACGGTCGTAAGCGCGCAAGCAAGCAAGCGAGTGAACTTAATATAAAGGATTTAAAAATAAATACCCTCTACGGGGAGGAATTACACCTATCTGTTAAGAGTTTTTAACAGACAACGAGACAAGAAGTCACAGCTTCTCGAGACGCTGGCCTTCCTCAAGAGATGCCGAAATAACAAGGTAATACCCATCGCTTTATATAAACAAGGACTGTTTTCTTGGAATTTCTCTCACTTGATACAGCTATCGTGCTGTGACGGTTCCACCTGAAGACGGAAGCTTGTGTTGCCTCCGAAACGTCGTGATTTTTATTTTTATTTTATTTTACTTTTATTAATTTGAATTTTTTACCTATGTGACTTTACCGAAAAAACCTAAGAATATGAATCCTTGCAGTCACGAAAGCTTCAAATCTAGAGTTAGTTCCCTCCGCTCGATCGCGTTACGCCCGAATCGAAATCCGCGTTATCTGTCGTCTGGTCGAACACCATATGAGACGAGGCTCTAAAGAAAGCTGTCTCTGGTGTGGACCAATCAGTTTCAAAGACAATGCACAAATTATCAGAGTATTGTTTTCTATTTGCATTTGACTGCAAGTATTGTGGTTAATGTAAGCATGTTTCCTTGCAAAAGGTGTCAGTTTTGTTGCCAGAAAAAAGGGGAAAAACCCCTATTAGTATATTTTGGTACTGGCAAAGGAGGTCCCATGACATAAGAGGGGTTGGCGGGGAAGGGGGGGGGGTTGGGAGGCGGGGGGGTACAGGCTGTCTAGGCGAAGAGATGCAGAGAGATTGGAAGGCCCAATTCTCCTCCGTCAACCCCACTGGGGCATCTCACTTCCGACTTCTACCTCACTCTGTTTGCCACCACGATCCAGTCCATTGGTCCATCTCGTCCGCAGCGTTAGGCCGCCGCGCTGGCATTGGACATCTCGCTCGTCTGAATATTGGGGGCTTCTTTTATTTGTAAATACGTTATTTGCGGCTGGGTCAGTATTGACCCCGTCTGCGCGCCAAAGATGACGACACTCGGCCGTCGGCTGGAAAGATGGCGAAATAAATCCAAACTTATTCAAGCGTCAGCGGATCTCTCCCACATCCCTGGCACCCACCGACCTCTCTATTTGGCACACTGCGGTGGCGAGATGTTAACTACCTCGCCTGGTATACAGGAGGTCGTGGGTTAGATCCCGACCCTGACGCCTGCTGTATATTTGGAGTCTGCGTGTCTCTCTCATCATCACGGTGGCTGGGAGATGTTAACTACCTCGCCTGGTATACAGGAGGTCGTGGGTTCGATCGCAACCATGACGACGCCTGCTGCTGTATATTTGGAGTCTGCGTGTCTCTCTCATCATCGCGGTGGCTGGGAGATGTTAAATCCCTCACCTGGTATACAGGCGGTCACGGGTTCCATCCCGACCCTGATGATGCCTGCTGCATTTTTCGAGTTTGCGTGTATTCCGCGGGTTCTCCGGTTTTTGACCTCCGCATTTAGAATCAACATCGCGCGTTTAGAGTTGCTGGCTGCTGTAACATTTCCACGTGATAAGCCACTTCGTTGAGTTATCATTCGTGGCCAGGTCGCTTCTGAATTAGAGCCCAATGGCCCTTACCTGGTAAAATATAAATAGTTCAGTTCGTAGTTTAGTCTATATTTAAAAAGCGAGCGAAGCGCCGATTACCGTTTTCCATAAGATGACTCGTCTCTGTCGCCATCAAGTTTTCCGCGCCGGGCGCACCCGCGGACGAGGGAGAAGCCGCCGCGTATTTCCGATCGTCCGCGTCCCCCAGCCTCCGCGCAGACAGCAGCAGCTCCCGGCTCAGGCCGCTGAACAGAGCGAGCAGCACGTCCACCAGCCCTCCCAGCGTCACGTCGCCAGGGTAGGCGGCGGCCGCGTCATCGTGGTGGGTCTCGTCGCCCCGCAGGGCCTTCACCACCTGCCGCAGCACGGCGTAGAAGCCGAAGGGCAGGCGGTCGCGCGCCGCGGCCAGCAGCTCGGCCCGCACGAGGCCGTCCCCGACGCAGGCGCGCAGGACCCCGTAGTCCCGGATGCCCAGCTCCGAGTCCATGGCCCTGGCCACCTCCTGGTTCACGCCCTGCGCCTCCAGCCACGCCGGGAAGTCGTCCGTCAGCTCCGGCAGCACCGGGGCGGCCACCGCACACGCCATGCTGGCGGGGACGGCGTAGAAACGGACCGCGAAATTTAGGGAAAAATGGACACTGATTTGACGTTCAAGAATTATTATGATTATCTGGAAATCTCTTAGTTTGTTACGTGTGTAGCAACAACCCACACGGCAGTCTTCAACTGATACAAGTCTTTATTTCCCGCGGCACGAGACACACACACGCGCCTTCAAAGATTCCCGTCACTCCAAGCATCCCGAACTCCCTCGCTTCCACCCCCCCTCCCCCCTCGAGCCCCTTTCTCGATTGTTCGTTGACCTCCCGCCTTCCCTCTGACCAAATACCTTCCAACTTTTCCTAACGGATTCCCAACTCATCCCCTCCCCTGTCAATCATCCTCCGTTTCCCATTTTGTATTTCTCCCAACCAATTCCCTTCAAATTCCCTGCCTCTGACCTACCGATCCCCTTTTTCAGGCGCCGTTAAGTAGCTTCATTTCATTTATTTCATTTATTAGGTATAGCCCTGTAACATCGCTGTCAAACCGATTCGCTTTACCCCGTATTCTTATACAGAAAAATAGAGTTTTCAGGTCCATACGACGTACAGCCATTTCAATACGGGTATTTTGTTGTCTATTTTGACAGTTATGCAATTAACGAAAATGAATGACTGAAATACTTCTAAACGACCGTATCCACTTTTCGATTTAAAGCTTTCGTGACTGCAGAAATTCATATTCTTTGGGTCTTTCGGTAAAGCCACGTAGATAGAACAAATAATAAATAATAAAAATAATAACAACATCACGACGTTTTGATCGACCACTCCGTCCTATCGTCTCCACCATTAGCTCACCCACCTACAAACTGGCCCGATTTATGCCTGCGACGTTGCATCCATTCACTGCTTAGTCCGCCTCAGCTGTACTTAACTCAGCTCACTTCTTCTTGGTTCTTTCGGTAAAGTCACGTAGAAGGGAAATAATACAATAATAAAAATAAAACATGATAAGATACAATTCTCACGACGTTTCGGCCACAACGCAAGCAGCCGTCCTCAGGCGAAGAACAGGTCTGTCGGAAAGACATCGTCTGAATGAAACACCACCAGGCTTGGCAGCGTATATTTAAGCTGGGTTGGTATCTTCAATTAAGGACATCTCACTATCTCCAGGTGATTTGCTTGTCAGTTTCGATGTTCTATCTTTGTTTATCAAAGTTCCTGTGCCTGGCACCATTGCAAATCATTTAAGATTTGGCCCAACAAGGAATGTTGATGTACCGGCCCTGGTGAGACACTGCCTCACCAACAATTACTTCACCTGGAATGGAACATTCTACAAACAAGTGGAAGGTACCAAAACGGGTTCTCCCTTATCTCCAGTTGTAGTCAATGTTTTCATGGAGAAATTTGAGACAGACGCCATCCAGGCATCCACCCTACGTCCTTCCTTGTGGAAGAGGTACGTGGATGACACGTTCGTCATCTGGCCACATGGCCTACCAGCTCTGGACCAATTCTTCAACCACATCAATTCCATACACGCAGCCATCAAATTCACCATGGAGGTGGAAAAGGTCACCATTCTTGGATGTTTTAATTGAAAAGAGACCTGATGGTTCAATGGGACACTGTCTACAGGAAAGCCACCCATACGGATGCCTACCTCAAACCTGACTCCCACCACCATCCATCCCAGAAGAATTCCCTTATCAAAACTCTACACCATAGAGCTCGTTGCATTTCCAACCATCACCACCTAGCCAGTGGGTGAGTGGGTGGGTGAGTGGGTGAGTGGGTGAGTGGGTGAGTAGGTGAGTGTGTGGATGGGCGAGCAGGTGAGTGTGTGGATGGGCGAGCAGGTGAGTGTGTGGATGGGCGAGCAGGTGTGTGGATGGGCGAGTAGGTGAGTGTGTGGATGGGCGAGTAGGTGAGTGCGTGGATGGGTGAGTAGGTGAGTGTGTGGATTGGTGAGTAGGTGAGTGTGTGGCTGGGTGAGTAGGTGAGTGTGTGGATTGGTGAGTAGGTGAGTGTGTGGATGGGTGAGTAGGTGAGTGTGTGGATGGGTGAGTAGGTGAGTGCGTGGATGGGCGAGTAGGTGAGTGCGTGGATGGGCGAGTAGGTGTGTGGATGGGTGAGTAGGTGAGTGTGTGGATGGGTGATTAGGTGAGTGTGTGGATGGGTGAGTAGGTGAGTGTGTGGATGGGTGAGCAGGTGAGTGTGTGGATGGGTGAGTAGGTGAGTGTGTGGATGGGTGAGTAGGTGAGTGTGTGGATGGGTGAGTAGGCGAGTGAGTCGATGGGTGAGTAGGCGAGTGTGTGGATGGGTGAGTAGGTGAGTGTGTGGATAGGCGAGTGAGTCGATGGGTGAGTAGGTGTGTGGATGGGTGAGTAGGTGAGTGTGTGGATGGGTGAGTAGGTGAGTGTGTGGATGGGTGAGTAGGTGAGTGTGTGGATGGGTGAGTAGGCGAGTGTGTGGATGGGTGAGTAGGTGAGTGTGTGGATGGGTGAGTAGGTGAGTGTGTGGATGGGTGAGTAGGCGAGTGAGTCGATGGGTGAGTAGGCGAGTGTGTGGATGGGTGAGTAGGTGAGTGTGTGGATAGGCGAGTGAGTCGATGGGTGAGTAGGTGTGTGGATGGGTGAGTAGGTGAGTGTGTGGATGGGTGAGTAGGTGAGTGTGTGGATGGGTGAGTAGGCGAGTGTGTGGATGGGCGAGTAGGTGAGTGTGTGGATAGGCGAGTGAGTCGATGGGTGAGTAGGTGTGTGGATGGGTGAGTAGGTGAGTGTGTGGATGGGTGAGTAGGTGAGTGTGTGGATGGGTGAGTAGGTGAGTGTGTGGATGGGTGAGTAGGTGAGTGTGTGGATGGGTGAGTAGGTGAGTGTGTGGATGGGTGAGTAGGTGAGTGTGTGGATGGGTGAGTAGGCGAGTGTGTGGATGGGTGAGTAGGCGAGTGTGTGGATGGGTGAGTAGGCGAGTGTGTGGATGGGTGAGCAGGCGAGTGTGTGGATGGGTGAGCAGGTGAGTGTGTGGATGGGTGAGTAGGTGAGTGTGTGGATGGGTGAGTAGGTGAGTGTGTGGATGGTTGAGTAGGTGAGTGTGTGGATGGGTGAGTAGGTGAGTGTGTGGATGGGCGAGTAGGTGAGTGTGTGGATGGGTGAGTAGGCGAGTGTGTGGATGGGTGAGTAGGCGAGTGTGTGGATGGGTGAGTAGGCGAGTGTGTGGATGGGTGAGCAGGCGAGTGTGTGGATGGGCGAGTAGGTGAGTGTGTGGATGGGTGAGCAGGTGAGTGTGTGGATGGGTGAGTAGGTGAGTGTGTGGATGGGTGTGGGGATGTGTGGAGGGTGTGAGTAGGGAGTGTGGATGGTGAGTAGGCGAGGTGTGGGTGAGTAGGTGAGTGTGTGGATGGGTGAGTAGGTGAGTGTGTGGATGGGTGAGTAGGTGAGTGTGTGGATGGGTGAGTAGGTGAGTGGTGGATGGGCGAGTAGGTGTGTGGATGGGTGAGTAGGTGAGTGTGTGGATGGGTGAGTAGGTGAGTGTGTGGATGGGTGAGTAGGTGAGTGTGTGGATGGGCGAGTAGGTGAGTGTGTAGATGGGTGAGTAGGTGAGTGTGTGGATGGATGAGTAGGTGAGTGTGGATGGGTGAGTAGGTGAGTGTGTGGATGGGTGAGTAGGCGAGTGTGTGGATGGGTGAGTGGGTGAGTAGGTGAGTGTGTGGATGGGTGAGTAGGTGAGTGAGTCGATGGGTGCGTGTGTTGTTGTGACCTGCATTGTCAATGTGGTTGAACAGTGTCTTGTACACCTCCTCACCACCTCCACCACCTCACTCCCTCACCTCACCTCACCTCCTCACCACCACCATCTCCTCACCACCTCACCTCACCACCTCCACCTCCACCTCACCACCACCTCCACCTCACCACCTCACCTCCTCACCACCTCACCTCCTTACCACCTCCACCTCACCTCACCACCTCCACCTCACCTCCTCACCACCACCTCCACCACCTCACCACCTCACCACCTCACCTCCTCCACCACCTCACCACCACCACCTCCACCTCACCACCTCACCCTCACCACCACCACCTCACCCTCACCACCACCACCTCACCCTCACCACCTCACCACCTCACCACCTCCACATCACCACCCGACACCACCTCCACCTCCTCACCACCACCTCACCTCACCTCCTCACCACCTCCACCTCACCCTCACCATCACCACCACCACCTCACCCTCACCACCACCTCACCCTCACCACCTCACCACCTCACCCTCACCACCTCTTCCTCACCTCACCACCTCACCACCACCACCTCCACCACCTCACCTCCTCCTCCTCACCACCTCACCACCTCACCTCACCACCTCACCCTCACCACCTCACCCTCACCTTCACCACCTCCACCACCTCACCACCTCACCACCACCTCACCCTCACCACCACCACCACCTCCACCTCCACCTCACCCTCCCCACCTCCACCTCACCCTCACCTCCTCACCACCACCACCTCACCCTCACCTCCTCACCACCACCACCACCACCTCACCCTCACCACCTCACCCTCACCACCTCACCACCTCACCACCACCACCTCACCCTCCCCACCACCACCACCACCTCACCCTCACCACCACCACCACCACCACCTCACCCTCACCACCACCACCTCACCCTCACCACCTCACCACCTCACCACCACCACCTCACCCTCACCACCACCACCACCACCACCTCACCCTCACCTCCTCACCTCCTCCTCACCTCCTCCACCTCACCACCTCACCCTCACCTCACCACCTCACCCTCACCTCACCACCTCACCCTCACCACCTCACCCTCACCACCTCCACCACCTCCACCACCTCCACCTCACCTCCTCACCACCTCCACCTCCTCACCACCACCACCTCCACCTCCACCTCACCCTCACCCTCACCACCTCACCCTCACCACCTCACCCTCACCACCTCCACCTCACCCTCACCACCACTACCACCTCACCCTCACCACCTCACCCTCACCACCTCACCCTCACCACCACCACCTCACCCTCACCACCTCACCGTCACCACCTCACCCTCACCACCTCACCCTCACCACCTCCACCTCACCACCTCCACCTCCTCACCACCTCACCCTCACCACCTCACCACCTCCTCACCCTCACCACCTCACCCTCACCACCACCACCTCACCACCACCACCACCTCACCCTCACCACCTCACCCCCTCACCACCACCACCTCCACCACCTCACCTCCTCACCACCTCACCCTCACCACCTCACCCTCACCACCCTCACCACCCTCACCACCTCCACCTCACCACCACCACCACCACCACCTCCACCTCACCACCTCACCCTCACCACCTCCACCTCACCACCTCACCCTCACCACCTCCACCTCCTCACCACCTCACCACCTCACCCTCACCACCTCACCACCTCCACCTCACCCTCACCACCTCACCCTCACCACCTCCACCTCACCCTCACCACCACCACCACCTCACCCTCACCACCTCACCCTCACCACCTCACCCTCACCACCACCACCTCACCCTCACCACCTCACCGTCACCACCTCACCCTCACCACCTCACCCTCACCACCTCCACACCACCTCACCCTCACCACCTCACCACCTCCTCACCCTCACCACCTCACCCTCACCACCACCACCTCACCACCACCACCACCTCACCCTCACCACCTCACCTCCTCACCACCACCACCTCCACCACCTCACCTCCTCACCACCTCACCCTCACCACCTCACCCTCACCACCCTCACCACCCTCACCACCTCCACCTCACCACCACCACCACCACCACCTCCACCTCACCACCCTCACCCTCACCACCTCCACCTCACCACCTCACCCTCACCACCTCCACCTCCTCACCACCTCACCACCTCACCCTCACCACCTCACCACCTCCACCTCACCCTCACCACCTCACCCTCACCTCCTCACCCTCACCACCCTCACCACCCTCACCACCTCCACCACCCTCACCACCACACCCTCACCACCTCACCCTCACCACCACCTCCACCTCACCTCACCCTCACCACCTCACCTCCTCACCCTCACCACCTCACCCTCACCACCCTCACCACCCTCACCACCTCCACCACCCTCACCACCCTCACCACCCTCACCACCTCACCCTCACCACCACCTCCACCTCACCCTCACCACCTCACCCTCACCACCTCACCCTCACCACCTCCACCACCTCCACCACCTCCACCTCACCTCCTCGCCACCTCCACCACCACCACCACCACCTCACCACCTCCACCTCCTCACCACCACCACCTCCACCTCCACCTCACCCTCACCCTCACCACCTCACCCTCACCACCTCCACCTCACCCTCACCACCTCACCCTCACCCACCACCACCTCACCCTCACCACCTCACCCTCACCACCTCACCCTCACCACCACCACCACCTCACCCTCACCACCTCACCCTCACCACCTCACCCTCACCACCTCACCCTCACCACCTCCACCTCACCACCTCCACCTCCTCACCACCTCACCCTCACCCTCACCACCTCACCACCACCTCCACCTCACCCTCACCACCTCACCACCTCCTCACCCTCACCACCTCACCCTCACCACCACCACCTCACCACCACCACCACCACCTCACCCTCACCACCTCACCTCCTCACCACCACCACCTCCACCACCTCACCTCCTCACCACCTCACCCTCACCACCTCACCCTCACCACCCTCACCACCTCCACCTCACCACCACCACCACCACCACCTCCACCTCACCACCTCACCCTCACCACCTCCACCTCACCACCTCACCCTCACCACCTCCACCTCCTCACCACCTCACCACCTCACCCTCACCTCACCTCACAACCTCACCACCTCCACCTCACCCTCACCACCTCACCCTCACCTCCTCACCCTCACCACCCTCACCACCCTCACCACCTCCACCACCCTCACCACCACACCCTCACCACCTCACCCTCACCACCACCTCCACCTCGCCTCACCCTCACCACCTCACCTCCTCACCCTCACCGCCCTCACCACCCTCACCACCTCCACCACCCTCACCACCCTCACCACCCTCACCACCACACCCTCACCACCACCTCCACCTCACCCTCACCACCTCACCCTCACCACCTCACCCTCACCACCTCCACCTCACCCTCACCACCTCACCCTCACCACCACCACCACCTCACCCTCACCACCTCCACCACCCTCACCACCCTCACCACCTCACCCTCACCACCTCACCCTCACCACCCTCACCACCTCCACCACCCTCACCACCCTCACCACCTCCACCACCCTCACCACCCTCACCACCTCCACCACCCTCAACACCTCCACCTCACCCTCACCACCACCTCACCCTCACCACCTCACCCTCACCACCCTCACCTCCTCACCCTCACCCTCACCACCTCCACCTCACCCTCACCTCCTCACCCTCACCACCCTCACCCTCACCACCTCCACCCCCTCACCCTCACCACCTCACCCTCACCACCTCACCACCACCACCACCCTCACCACCCTCACCCTCACCACCACCTCCACCTCACCCTCACCACCTCACCCTCACCACCTCACCACCACCACCTCCACCTCACCCTCACCACCTCACCCTCACCACCTCACCACCACCACCACCCTCACCACCCTCACCCTCACCACCACCTCCACCTCACCCTCACCCTCACCACCTCACCCTCACCACCTCACCACCACCACCTCCACCTCACCCTCACCACCACCCCCACCACCACCACCACCTCACCCTCACCACCCTCACCACCCTCACCACCCTCACCTCCTCACCACCCTCACCACCCTCACCACCTTCACCACCCTCACCACCCTCACCACCTCCACCACCCTCACCACCCTCACCACCTTCACCACCTCCACCACCCTCACCACCCTCACCACCTTCACCACCCTCACCACCCTCACCACCTCCACCACCCTCACCACCCTCACCACCACCACCTCCACCACCCTCACCACCCTCACCTCCTCACCACCCTCACCACCCTCACCACCTCCACCACCCTCACCACCCTCACCACCACCACCTCCACACCCTCACCACCCTCACCACCTCACCCTCACCACCACCACCACCCTCACCACCCTCACCACCTCCACCACCCTCACCACCTCCACCACCCTCACCACCCTCACCACCCTCACCTCCTCACCACCCTCACCACCCTCACCACCCTCACCACCTCCACCTCACCACCTCACCCTCACCACCTCCACCTCACCTCCTCACCACCTCCACCTCACCACCACCTCCACCTCACCACCTCACCCTCACCACCTCCACCTCACCACCTCACCCTCACCACCTCCACCTCACCACCTCACCCTCACCACCTCCACCACCCTCACCACCTCACCCTCACCACCTCCACCACCCTCACCACCTCCACCTCACCACCTCACCCTCACCACCTCCACCTCACCACCTCACCCTCACCACCTCCACCTCACCACCTCACCCTCACCTCTTCTGTGAGTCGCCCTCGCCTCTGCCGAGTGCACGCGCAAGGGACCGCGCGCATTTGACTCACTCGGCGGAGGGGCGGGTGGAGGGCGGCGAAAGGGTCCGCGGTGAAGTTGCGCAACTCAGACGGTGACCCGAGTCAACAAAGGGAACGCGTCGTTTCCACTAACGAAAGCGAGCCGCGCTGGGACGATGATACAATAGAATTGGGATTATGCAATAATCGATTAATGATTCTTGGATTTATTTACGAGTTATTGTTCAAGAGGGTCTCGCCATGTACTTACGGAGCATCTAAACAAGAAATACATTTAAAGGAAAGCTCTGTCTACCCGCCCCCCCCCAAAAAAATATGCTTCAAATCGTCTACTTGGTTCTTTCGGTAAAGTCACGTAGAAGGGAAATAATAAAATAATAAAAATAAAACATAATAAAATAATTCTCACGACGTTTCGGCCACAACGCAAGCAGCCGTCCTCAGGTGAAGAACAGGTCTGTCGGAAAGACAGAGTCTTTTTTCAGACTCTGTCTTCTCCATTCTACGTGACTTTATCGAAAGAACCAAGAGCATTGGAACCTCCTTTGCCAGTAGCAAAATATGATAATTGTTTTTTTACCCTTTTAGATTAATAATAGGGGGGGTTTTTCCCCCTTTTTCCTGGCAACAAAACCGACACTTTTTTTTGACAATTTATTTATTTAAAAGTTAAACTCGTTTATTTTCTTGGTTCTTTCGGTAAAGTCACGTAGAAGGGAAATAATAAAATAATAAAAATAAAACATAATAAAATAATTCTCACGACGTTTCGGCCACAACGCAAGCAGCCGTCCTCAGGTGAAGACCAGGTCTGTCGGGGAGACAGCGTCTGAATGAGCACCACCATGCTTGGCAGCGTATATTTAAGCTGGGTTGGAGTGGGAAGGGCGCCTTGACAAAGGAATTTACATATCAACAGAGGAATTTAGCATAATTATGGGAAATGCAGATATGGGATTAGTCACTACTTGTGGAATGCTTAAAATCGCTTTAAACTATTGTCATTGTAGTGCGTATTTAATGTGGCGCTGCACTCTGATGTTGTAGGAGAAAACATTTATTACAAAGTCTATTTAATTAAGTAGAACGTGTTGTCTATATTTATTTAAAGTTGGGCATTTTGATGTGACGTCACATTTCTCACCCCACCCCCCCGTCACACATCGTCACACATGTCTGACCCCCCCCCCCTAGGTGCGTGACGTCATTTATGTAGGCCCCTAATAGAATTAGAATTATGCAATTTAACAGAATAATGTTTATTTTTAAATCCTTTATATTAAGTTAACTTGCTTGCTTGCGTGCTTGCTTACTTGCTTACGACCGTGCAAATCTTTCGGTCGTTTTTTAACCCACTTCCCGTGATCCAATCGAGCTGACATTTTCCACACAGACTCGTTGTGCGTGACAATTAGTGTTCGTGAAAAAATTTTTCCAAAATTTTACACTGTTTAGGGAATTTTTTAAAAATATTTAATTACCAATTGCTTAATGCTGGCAGACAATCATCTGACCCATAGGTGGCAGCCATCTCAAGCCAGAGGACTCTTGCCGCCACGCATATAAAGGATTTAGAGTGAAAAACTTTGTTTTTACGGGTTTATTTTTTATTTACTAGTTATTGTTAAAGAGAGTCCCGCCATGTACTTACGGAGCGTCTAAACAAGAAATACATCTAAGAGGTCGTAACAAACCACCGCAAACTAAAACTACTTTTATTTTAATCGAGATTTGAAGTTTTCGTGACTGCAGGGATCCATACTCTGTGGTTCTTTCGGTAAAGTCACGTAGGTACCCGTACCCTACCCGAAATGAGTGACCAACGGTTACTCACCAGTGACTCACGGCCTACCCGTACCCGTACCCGGCCGCACCAGGGTCGCGAACGGCTACCCGTACCCGTCCCCTACCCGTACCCGTCTACCCGATACCCAGCCGCGTATCGGGTAAGGATCGGGTACGGGTAGGGTACGGGTAACGGGTACCCGATTGCGCCCTCTGGGATGAAGCCACGTTGCAGGCGCGGGTGGGTTGATTCTAGGAACTTGAATTGTGATAAGAGACAAGACGTTGGGAAATGAGTGACAAACGGTGACTCACCATTGACTCACGGCCTACCCGTACCCGTACCTGGCCGGGTACGGGTTAGCCGGGTATTGGGTAGGGTACGGGTAAGGAATCAAAACCCGTTTGCGACCTCTGGCGAGAAGAGGCCTCTAGCCACGCGGTCCGGGACCTTGACACTGTTCGCTGTCCCGGTCCGGGACCCAGCATGTGGTCCCGGACCGGGACAGCGAACAGTGTCAAGTTGTGCCGTAGCGTGGTTAGATGGGCATTCGAGACCCGAGTGTAGATTTTGTGATGTTATGTTTAAGTTGATTCTAGATTTGAAGCTTTCGTGACTGCAAGGAATCATACATTTTTTCGGTAAAGTCACGTAGGTAAAAAAATAAAATTAATAAAAGTAAAATAATAGAAATAAAATAATAAAAGTCACGACGTTTCGGAGGCAACACAAATCTCCGTCATCAGGTGGGACCGTCACAGCAAAAATTACTGTATCAATATGCTCCAAGCACGTGTGCTGTTTCATTCAGACGCTGTCGCCTCGACAGACCTGGTCTTCACCTGAGGACGGCTGCTTGCGTTGTGGCCGAAACGTCGTGAGAATTATTTTATTATGTTTTATTTTTATTATTTTATTAATTCCCTTCTACGTGACTTTACCGAAAGAACCAAGAAGATGAATCCCTGCAGTCACGAAAGCTTTACATCGAAATGCATAACTGTACCAATGAATTCATTGATGAAACTTAACATCTATAAACATCTATGTTACGAATCTACACACTCAAAGGGATACTATTTGGTAAAAATCTTTCTTTTGATCACAGAATCTTGCCCGCAAATTTATTGAAGCCCTTAGCCAATCGATAAACATTTGTTAGACAAGCAGGCACACGACCGCACACCATTATTCCAAGGCATTTCGTTAATTGCATCATCTTACCAATGAATTCATCGAGGTCAACTTTGGCCTTAGGGAGATGTTTCTTTATTACTGTTCGTATGAATATTGTCGCATTAATTTTTAAGGAATTTTTCCTGTCGCCGTGTATGCTCGCTTTACTGTGAGGAATTAGCCGATTGTTCTGTTACCCAGTTTAACAAACATAACCATTGAGGGTTATATGTACGAATCAATCAGGAGGACATCTCCCGGAGTGCTGTGTTGACATTCCTAGCACAAGAGTTCGTATATGAGAGTGTTTTGTTTTTTTCAGATATTAAAGTTGCTCAGCACAGAAGAGTCTGAGTGGTGCCTTCCTAAGTTCATGCAAAATAATCTTCTTTGGTTCTTTCGGTAAAGTCACGTGACTTTACCAAAAGATCCAAAGTTAAGGCAAAATAATCTTAATTATAAGAATTGTTTCCTGCGGTGAGATATGAATTTGGAGACCTGACATAAACACTACAACAAAATCAGTAAAAGTCAAAGCGAGAATCATTCTATTATCACAATTGGTAATACACCCTAGACAACAAAGCGGAGCCTAATTATCATAATTGCATACATTAGTATAATTGAATGATTTACATATATTGTATTATCCCAATTGATAAAACAACCCTATACAACGAAGCCAAGCCTAATTACCATACCACATACACTTGCATAACTTCATACAATTACACCTTCATTTTATTATCACGATTGATACCCCAAGGCAACGAAGCAGAAACTAATTAGCATAAATGCATATTTTCATAATTACACAAATCAGCATAAATTTGGAAAATTACATATTTGCAATTTTCATTACATTTTTATTATTTGTCTACATTTTCAACACCTAATAGATACAACAAGTACTGAAGGCGATCCAGAGTGAGACCAGGAAAGGGACCGGGCAGAGATGATCTCCAAAGCAAACTGCTGAGGGTGGCGTTTGTGCACAGACTGCCCGACATGACATCATAATAACAGTCTGGACCACTGGATGGGTTCCACAGGATTGGAAGGATGCCCTGGTGGTTCCCCCCACCCCCACTTTAAGAAGTGGGACCGCACTTTAAAAATCAGCAATAGGGTTATATAAATAAAATGTATTATGAAACAAAAGGCAAAAAGCTATTATGTATAAGTACATAGTTTAGTCCTTACACCATTGGAACCTCATTTGACAGTAAAAAATATAATTGGTTCTTTACCCTTTTATCTGGCAACAAAACTGACACCTTTTTTACAAGGAGTCATGTTTGCATAGACTACAATACCTGCAGTCATAATGCAAACAAAAAACACAACTCTGATAATGTATGCACTGTCCTTGAAGTTGATTGGTCCACACCCGAGACAGCTTTTCTTAGAGCCTAGTCTCACATGGTGTTGGACCAGATGACGCCAAAAGGCGCGTCAGATGACGCCAAAAACCGCGTCATCTGGTCCAACACCAGGGTGAGACTAGGCTCTAAGAAAAGCTGTCTCGGGTGTGGACCAATCAACTTCAAGGACAGTGCATACATGATCAGCGTTGTTTTTTGTTTGCATTACGACTGCAGGTATTGTAGTCAATGCAAACATGACTCCTTGTAAAAAAGGTGTCAGTTTTGTTGCCAGATAAAAGGGTAAAAAACCAATTATCAGTTTAGTCTTGATTCAGTGTCTACTCGGCGCTTCTCGGCTTGTCTCTTGTATTCATTAAATGGAGCGTCTCTTGTCCACTGTCCAGCAATAGTCTGCAAGCATTGACGGGCTCCATTTGCCCCGATAGCGTTTCTTCATCGTTGCAATGTCCTGGTGAAATCGCTCGCCATGCTTGTCGCCCACTGCTCCGCAGTTCGCTGGGAAAAAAATCTAGAGTGCAAATAACGTATCTTCATATTCTTGGTTCTTTCGGTAAAGTCATCGTTATATTTTTATTAATTCCCTTCTACGTGACTTTACCGAAAGAACCAAGAATATGAATCCCTGCAGTCGTGAAAGCTTTAATTCGAAATGTATCTTTAGTGACATGTTGCAACCAAGGCTTTTTGGATGCCTTCACGTTTTCCACCAACTCCCTGTAGTTGTGTGCCTTGTTGTTTCCAAGAAAATGTGTTGCCACCAACTGGAAGGCTTTCTATTTAAAGCTTTCGTGACTGTTTCATTCAGACGCTGTCTCCCCGACAGACCTGGTCTTCACCTGAGGACGGCTGCTTGCGTTGTGGCCGAAACGTCGTGAGTTTTATTATGTTTTATTTTTATTATTTTATTACTTCCCTTCTACGTGACTTTACCGAAAGAACCAAGAAGATGGAAGGCTTTCCATGCAGTCTTTTCCTTGCCACGAAGTACAGTCAAATGCATCATCTCGAAGATGTTCACGAATCTGAGGACCAACAAAGATACATCATTCCTTTATCTTAGCCTAATTTCACCTCGAGTGAGAATGATTCTGGTGCATCAGGAACCGTCAGTCCTTCTCCGTGGGGTACTGGGCATATAGCCGATGGAATGTTTGGATGATGCACACTCCACTTTTTAAATCCTTTATATTAAGTTCACTTGCTTGCTTGCGCGCTTACGACCGTGCAAATCTTTCGGTCGTTTTTTAACCCACTTCCCGTGATCCAATCGAGCTGACATTTTGCACACAGACTCCGTTGTGCGTGACAATTTATTTTCGTGAGAAATTTTTTTTTCCAAAATGCTACACTTTTTAGGAATTTTTTCATATTTAATTTAAAATACCAATGTGATAAAAATGAAACTCTCACTCAAGAAAAACAGAAATGAATAATAAAATAAAACCGATGCCACGCATATAAAGGATTTATAGTGAAAAACTTTGTTTTTACGGGTTAATTTTTTCTTCTTTGACACATCTTTCCCCACTGGAGGCGCCATGCAGAAATAAAAATTGCTGATATGATCTGTTGGCTCTCTCCAAACCATTGTCACTGCAAAAGGCATCGATTTCCTTTTCTTGTTCAACCACTGGCAAATATTTGTTGCGCAAGTGTTGCAGCATTGGGCCCAACTCTTGTCCTGATCTCCAATTTTGCAGCCAAAATCAAGGCGACAGGCTTTCTTAACCGTAGTGGTAATAGCGCGCTTTTGCGATGCAAAAGTCACTTCACCACAAACATAGCAGAAGTTACCTGCTTTGTTCACACAATTCCGAGGCATCTCTGCTCACTTTGGCTAAACAGAAATGTGTCCCTTTGCAAAATCAAACATTTACAAATAAGAGGGCATGACACTGTATGATTTCTAGAGTCGATATAGGGCAATTTGTTCAGCAGAGGGATGTAAGCCTAGTTACGATTGCATCATCCATGACTTCTAGGAATAAGATGACACAATTCATATCATATAGGACGCAATCCAGATTGCATCATTCATTGTTTTGCTCAAACAAGCAAGTGCTGTCCAAACCCAGTCATAGATTTATTCATAGATCCAGTCAAAGATTTTATTTTAGTCATTTCTGGTTTAAACTAAGATCCATTCCCTATATAACCAACTTATCCTCTGCCATTCCCAAGCCAAGGGTCGTATATGCTGATCCAGTAACACATCTTGAAAACTAGAGCCAGCCAACAATTTTAAGCATCATTGTCATTCTCAGTGACCCAGAATGAGTTAAGATAGACTATATTACGGGTAGGAACAACGGTTCCACACGGCCCACCAGGGATTATTTGTCTGTCGTTCATAGCCCCTCCCAAACATGTAGTAAGCTCCCGGATTGGTTGAAGTGCGTCACGTGACCGCGAGCTTTCTGTCGTGCACGAATTGCGCTGTCCGACCAAGTTCCTACCTGTATTCTCGGTTCTTTCGGTAAAGTCGCGTAGAAGGGAATTAATAAAATAATATTAATATAAAACAATAAAAATGCTCACGACGGTTCGACTGCAACACAAGCAATCATTTCGATTTAAAGCTTTCGTGACTGCAGGGATTCATCTTCTTGGTTCTTTCGGTAAAGTCACATAGAAGGGAAATAATAAAAATAAAACAATAAAATAATTCTCACGACGTTTTGGCCACAACGCAAGCAACCGTCCTCAGGTGAAGAACAGGTCTGTCGGAAAGACAGCGTCTGAATGACGCTGTCTTTCCGACAGACCTGTGTCTGAAACACTGTCTTTCCGACAGACCTGTTCTTCACCTGAGGACGGCTGCTTGAGTTGTGGCCGAAACGTCGTGAGAATCATTTTATGTTTTATTTTCAATATTTTATTATTTCCCTTCTACGTGACTGTACCGAAAGAACCAAGAAGACAAGCAATCATCATCAGCTGTGAAATCCACGGAAAGAAAATTTGAAAAAAAAGTAACCCGTAAAAACAAAGTTTTTCACTATAAATCCTTTATATGCCTCTGGCTTGAGATGGCTGCCACCTATGGGTCAGATGATTGCCTGCCACCATTAAGCAATTGGTAATTAAATATTAAAAAAAATTTCCTAAAAAGTGTAAAAGTTTGGAAAAAAAATTTCACGAAAATAAATTGTCACGCACAACGAGTCTGTGTGCAAAATGTCAGCTCGATTGGATCACGGGAAGTGGGTTAAAAAACGACCGAAAGATTTGCACAGTCGTAAGCGCGCAAGCAAGTGAACTTAATATAAAGGATTTAAAAAGTGGTGGTTTTTCTAACGTCAGCACCATGGACAGCGATTCGGCAGTTGGCCAGATGAACGAGTCCATCTATGTTCGGAAAAGAGGAGGGAGAGGAAGAGAATGGAATGCCATCTGAAAGTCACCGTAAGAGGGAACACAATCATTCAAGACCCGAAATGGTTGACCAAATCCTTCCAATGATTGCTAAGCCAGAATCCATCTTCTCGGTTGAAATTGTCTCTGTGTTTGTACATGTGAATAGCCTCGTGAATTTTTATTGTTTTATATAAATATTATTTTAGTATTTCCCTTCTACGTGACTTTACCGAAAGAACCAAGAACACGAATCCCTGCAGTCACGAAAACTTTAAATCAAGAAATTCCCACCTGCCCACTCGGAGGGAACGTGAAGCAGAGGCCGCATTTTCGCACGCTCTTTGCTACGGAGTCACACAACTTTTTTTATTATTTCAAATCGAGACAAATTAAGGTGCGCAGGTGCCCGCTGCGGTGAACTTATTTCGTGCCGTAACATAGCCAGCCATGCTAAACGGAGGCGCGGCAGCGAGGGGAGGGAGGGGGGGGTACGGGCGGGCAAGGGCACCAAACTCAACGGCACTGCGCTCTCTACACGAGGAACATTTTTACCGGCCACTATCATTCCGGAATTCTCACACGGGCGAGGAATTCTCGGCGGACACAGATGCTCGGGGCGGCTCCTCCGTTCACCAGGTCGGCGTCCCGGGGTCCCGTCATCCCGGGATGCCGAGACGCGGAATGGTTTGGCGCCACACACACACACACACCCAGTTCGGATCCGAAGTGTCGAGTTGTTGCTGCCGTCGGCCCGGCTGGGCTGTGGTACAAATGCTCACCTCGCACTCGGCCAGAAACAAGTGGGGCGGCGAGGGCTGGAGGTGGGAGCGGAGGGGTGGTGGGGTGGGTGGGCGCGTTGATCAACTGAGCTCCCCCCCCAATCCCCCCTGTTACCGACATCAATGTGGTTCACCAACACCGCTCGACGGGTGTGAAACACACAAACCCCCGGCTGGGTATCACCGCCACCACCGCCACCACCACTGCCGCTGCCACAGCCACCGCCACCCACACTCATTCCGGCAAGGAGACACCGACATCCGACTTTCGATCCCCGCCCGAAACGACACGCTCAGCCCCTCCGCGTCACGCGCCTTCTACCCCCCCCCCCCCCCACCGTGCCCAAGGGCCGTACTAAAAAAAAAATCCCGCGGCAACATCGCGGCCGCCGGCACCGCCGCCGGCAAAACGCCGCCGCCGCCGCCGGCGAGCCCCTAGCTCTTGGCGGACGCCGCCTCGCCGGCGTGCGACCGTCGGTGCACGCGGAAGTAGAACGGGTCCCGGAAGGCCTTCCCGCAGTCGTCGCAGTGGTGCCCCGGCGCGTCGGCGTGCGACCGCCGGTGCCGGGCCAGCGCCGACGAGCTGCGAAACGCCTTGCCGCACTCGGGGCAAGCGTACGGCCGCTCGTCGGCGTGCGCCCGCCGGTGGTACACGAGGCCCGCCGAGTCGCGGAAGGCTTTGCCGCACTCGCCGCACGCGTACGGCCGCTCGCCCGTGTGCGTCTTCAGGTGGTACTCGAGGCCCCACGAGTCCCGGTAGGTCTTGCCGCAGCGGGAGCACGCGTAGGGGCGCGCGTCCTCGTGGCTGCGCGCGTGCCGCGTCAGGCCCGACGACGAGCGGAAGGCCTTGCCGCAGCGGGGGCACGCGTACGGCCGCTCGCCCGAGTGCGTGCGCTCGTGGTAGGCGAGTCCCGACAGGTCGCGGTACACGCGGTCGCACAGCTTGCAGCCGAAGGGAGCGTCGCCGCCGCCGCCGCCGCCGCCGCCTTTGCCGACCTTCCCGGCGGCGGCGGCGTTGCTCCCGTCGGCCGAGGCGGTGCAGTGTCCGGACGCGACGTGGGCTCGCAGGAGGGCCGTGCTGCCGGGCTCCTCGCCACAGCGGGCGCACGCCTGCCGCTTGGCCGTGCGGCGACGACGCCGCTGACGCTTCACGGGGAGCGCGCCGGGGCCGCCGACGACTTTGCCGGTTCCTGCGACCGGGAGGACGATAAAGGGGGGGGGGGGGGGGGGCGCCGCCATGGTGGTTAAGATATGTAATCTCCCTCGCCTGCTATGCAGGAGGTCGTGGGTTCGATCCCGACCCTGACGACACCTGCTGCTGTACATTTGGAGTTGACGATTTCTCTCCCCGGGTCTTCCGGTTTTCCCAATCCGCATTTGGAATCGATGTCACTCGTATATTTGGCAGCTACTTTACAGTCACGGGGTCACGTCACAGCGTCACAGTCACGGCGTCAGTCACATCACGGGGTCACAGTCACGGAGTCACAGTCACATCACGGGGTCACATCACGGAATCACAGTCACGGCGTCAGTCATATCACGGGGTCACAGTCACGGACTCACAGTCACGGCATCACAGTCACATCAATGCGTCACAGTCACGGCATCACAGTCACATCAATGCGTCACAGTCACGGCGTCACAGTCACATCACGGGGTCACAGTCACGGCATCACAGTCACGGCGTCACGTCACGGGGTCACATCACTGCGTCACAGTCACGGCACTGTCACTTCACCGCGTCACATCACTGCGTCAGTCACGACGTCACGTCACGGCACACACCGTCGGCGTCGTCTTCGCCGTTCCCCGCCGCCGGGGCCTCGTTCTCAGCCTCGGCCTTCAAGTCGCCCTTCTCCTCCTCCTCCTCCTCGTCCTCCTCCCCGCGGAGCTCCGACGTCTCGGCTTTGCAGGCTAGCACCGCGGCGGCGGCGTCGTCGGCGACGCCGAGGCCGTCGTCGCAGTCGTCTTCGTCACCGGCGCCCACCAGCTCTTCCGCCTGCACCTCGGCGTACTCCACGTTCTCGGTGCGCGCGACGCCCTCCATGTTCTCCACGCTCTCCACGTTCTCCAGCACCACCGTCATTCCCACCTGCTCCATGTCCACTGCTGCTGTCGGGACGGGACGGACGGGAGGCGCGGCCGTTACACCGGAGGGGTGGTGGTTGGTCAAGGACGGTGCACACATTATCAGAGTTGTGTTTTTTGGTTGAATTACGACCGCAGGTATTGTGGTCAATGCAAACATGACTCCTCGTAAAAATTAACCCGTAAAAACAAAGTTTTTCACTATAAATCCTTTATATGCGTGGCGGCTAGAGTCCTCTCGTCCTCTGGCTTGAGATGGCTGCCACCTATGGGTCAGATGATTGCCTGCCACCATTAAGCAATTGGTAATTAAATATTTTAAAAAATTCCTGAAAAGTGTACAAATTTGGAAAAAACGAGTCTGTGTGGAAAATGTCAGTTCGATTGGATCACGGGAAGTGGGTTAAAAAACGACCGAAAAATTTGCACGGTTGTAAGCGCGCAAGCAAGTGAACTTAATATAAAGGATTTAAAAAAAGGTGTCAGTTTTGTTGCCAGATAAAAGGGTAAAAAAACCATTATCATATTTTTTTTACTGGCAAATGAGATTCCAATGGTGTAAATGCTTACCCCGAGCTCTCATACTCTGATGGTGCATTGTCTTTGAGTTGTGCGCCTTTTGGCGTCATCTGGTCCAACACCATGTGAGACTAGGCTCTAAGGAAAGCTGTCTCGGGTGTGGACCAATCAGTTTCAAGGACAATGCATATACTATCAGAGTGTCTTTTTTGTTTGCATTTTAACCACAAGTATTGTGGTTAAAATGCACACACATGATTCCTTGTAAAAAGGTTTCAGTTTCGTTGCCAGAAAAAAGGGAAAAAACTCTAGATTTGAAGCTTTCGTGACTGCAAGGATTCATACTCTTAGTTTTTTCGGTAAAGTCACGTAGGTAAAAAATGAAATTAAAATTATTATATTTTGGTACTGGCAAAGGAGGTCTCATGATGAAGTGGCTTATCGTCGTGTGGAAATGTATAGCAGCCAAATACTCTTAAACGCGTGTTTCTAAATGTCGAGGGAAAACCCAAAGGACCCGAAGAAAAATCCACGCGACCAAATGTACAGCAAGGCAAGCCGTCAGGTTCGAGGATCGAAACCACGACCATCTGTATACCAGACGAAGTCAGGAGTCGGGATGGAACCCACCACCTCCTGTATACCAGGCGAGGTAGTCAACATCTCCTAGCCACCGTGATGATGATGAGAGAGACATGCAAACTCCAAATGTACAGCAGGCGTCAGGATCGCGATCGAACCCACGACCTCCTGCGTACCAGGTGAGGTAGTCAACATCTCCTAGCCACCGTGATGATGAAAGAGAAACGCAAACTCCAAATATACAGCAGCAGGCGTCAGGGTCTGGATCCAATCCACGACCTTCTGCGTACCAGGCGAGGTAGTCAACATCTAGCCACCGTGATGATGATGAGAGAGACACGCAAACTCCAAATATACAGCAGGCGTCAGGGTCTGGATCCAATCCACGACCTTCTGCGTACCAGGCGAGGTAGTCAACATCTCCTAGCCACCGTGATGATGATGAGAGAGACACGCAAACTCCAAATATACAGCAGGCGTCAGGGTCTGGATCCAATCCACGACCTTCTGCGTACCAGGCGAGGTAGTCAACATCTCCTAGCCACCGTGATGATGAGAGAGAGACACGCAAACTCCAAATACAGCAGCAGGTGTCAGGGTCGCGATCGAACCCACGACCTCCTGTATACCAGGCGAGGTAGTTAACATCTCCTAGCCACCGTGATGATGATGAGAGAAACACGCAAACTCCAAATATACAGCAGCAGGCGTCAGGGTCGCGATCGAACCCACGACCTCCTGTATACCAGGCGAGGTAGTCAATATCTCCTAGCCACCGTGATGATGATGAGAGACACACGCAAACTCAAAATATACAGCAGGTGTCAGGGTCTAGATCCAATCCACGACCTCCTGTATACCAGGCGAGGTAGTCAACATCTCCTAGCCACCGTGATGATGATGAGAGACACGCAAACTCCAAATACAGCAGCAGGTGTCAGGGTCGCGATCGAACCCACGACCTCCTGTATACCAGGCGAGGTAGTTAACATCTCGAAACTGTGGTGGTGATGATGAGAAAGACATTGCAAACTCCAAATATAGAGCGGCAGGCATCGTCAGGGTCGGGATCGAAGCCACGACACCTCCTGCACACCAGGCGAGGTGGAGGTGGTGGGAGTAGTGGTGGGAGTAGAGGTGGAGGTGGGGGTAGAGGTGGGGGTAGAGGTGGGGGTAGAGGTAGGAGTAGAGGAGGTGGTGGATGAGGTGAAGGTGGTAGTGGTGGAGGTGATGGGGGTAGGTGGTGGTGAAGGTGCTGAAGGAGGTGGTGGTGGTGGTGAAGGTGGTGGAGGTGGTGGAGGTGGTGAAGGTGGTGAAGGTGGAGTTGGTGGTGAAGGTGGTGGTGGAGGTAGCGGTGGTGGTGGAGATGGTGAAGGTGGAGGAGGTGGGTGAGATGTGGTGGACGAGATGTGTGAATGAGATGTGTGTGAGTGAGATGTGTGGACGAGATGGTGTGTGTGTGAGATGGTGTGTGTGAGATGGTGTGTGTGAGATGTGTGTGCGTGAGATGTGTGTGTGAGATGTGTGCGAATGAGATGTGTGTGTGTGAGATGTGTGCGAATGAGATGTGTGTGTGAGATGTGTGTGAGTGAGATGTGTGCGAATGAGATGTGTGTGAGTGAGATGTGTGTGTGTGAGATGTGTGTGAGTGAGATGGTGTGTGTGAGATGTGTGTGCGTGAGATGTGTGTGTGAGATGTGTGCGAATGAGATGTGTGTGTGAGATGTGTGTGTGTGAGATGTGTGCGAATGAGATGTGTGTGAGTGAGATGTGTGTGTGTGAGATGTGTGTGAGTGAGATGGTGTGTGTGAGATGTGTGTGCGTGAGATGTGTGTGAGTGAGGTGTGTGTGTGTGATGGTGTGTGTGAGATGTGTGTGTGTGAGATGTGTGTGTGAGATGTGTGTGCGTGAGATGTGTGTGTGAGATGTGTGCGAATGAGATGTGTGTGAGTGAGATGTGTGTGTGAGATGTGTGTGCGTGAGATGTGTGTGCGTGAGATGTGTGTGTGTGAGATGTGTGCGAATGAGATGTGTGTGTGAGATGTGAGTGATGTGTGAGTGAGATGTGTGAGTGAGATGTGTGAGTGAGATGTGTGAGTGAGATGTGTGAGTGAGATGTGTGTGTGTGAGATGTGTGCGAATGAGATGTGTGTGAGATGTGTGTGTGTGAGTGTGTGGATGAGATGTGTGGAGTAGGAGGTGGACGAGATGGTGTGTGTGAGATGAGGTGAATGAGATGTGTGTGAGTGAGATGGTGTGTGTGAGATGTGTGAGAGTGTGTGGCTGAGATGGTGTGTAAGATGTGTGTGAGATGTGTGTGAGTGTGTGAATGAGATGGTGTGGACGAGATGGTGGGTGTGAGATGTGTGAGAGTGTGTGGATGAGATGGTGTGTAAGATGTGTGTGAGATGTGTGTGTGAGATGGTGTGTGTGTGAGATGTGTGTGAGATGTGAGTGTGTGGATGAGATGGTGTGTGAGATGTGTGTGTGTGGACGAGATGTGTGCGAGATGTGTATGTGTGAGATGTGTGTGTGTGAGATGTGTGTGTGTGAGATGTGTGTGTGTGAGATGTGTGTGAGATTTGTGTGTGAGATGTGTGTGTGTGAGATGTGTGTGAGATGTGTGTGTGAGATGTGTGTGTGAGATGTGTGTGAGATGTGTGTGTGAGATTTGTGTGTGAGATGTGTGTGTGTGAGATGTGTGTGTGTGAGATGTGTGTGAGATGTGTGTGAGATGTGAGTGAGATGTGTGTGAGATGTGTGTGAGTGAGATGTGTGTGTGTGAGATGTGTGTGAGATATGTGTGAGATGTGAGTGAGATGTGTGTGAGATGTGTGTGTGTGTGAGATGTGTGTGAGATGTGTGTGAGTGAGATGTGTGTGAGTGAGATGTGTGTGAGTGAGATGTGTGTGAGTGATGTGTGTGTGAGATGTGTGTGAGATGTGTGAGTGAGATGTGTGTGAGATATGTGAGTGAGATGTGTGTGTGAATGAGATGTGTGTGGATGAGATGTGTGTGGATGAGATGTGTGTGAGTGTGTGAGATGTGTGTGAGATATGAGTGAGATGTGTGTCAGATGTGTGTGAGTGTGTGAGATGTGTGTGAGATATGAGTGAGATGTGTGTGAGATGTGTGTGAGTGTGAGATGTGTGTGAGATATGAGTGAGATGTGTGTGAGTGTGAGATGTGTGTGTGAGATGTGTGTGAGATATGAGTGAGATGTGTGTGAGATGTGTGTGAGTGTGAGATGTGTGTGAGATATGAGTGAGATGTGTGTGAGTGTGAGATGTGTGTGTGAGATGTGTGTGAGATATGAGTGAGATGTGTGTGAGTGAGATGTGTGTGAGATATGAGTGAGATGTGTGTGAGACGTGTGTGAGATGTGTGTGAGTGTGAGATGTGTGTGTGAGATGTGTGTGAGTGTGAGATATGAGTGAGATGTGTGTGAGATGTGAGTGTGAGATGTGTGTGAGATGTGTGTGAGTGAGATGTGTGTGTGAGATGTGTGTGAGATATGTGTGAGATGTGAGTGAGATGTGTGTGTGAGATGTGTGTGTGTGTGAGATGTGTGTGAGATGTGTGTGAGTGAGATGTGTGTGAGTGAGATGTGTGTGAGTGAGATGTGTGTGAGTGATGTGTGTGTGAGATGTGTGTGAGATGTGTGAGTGAGATGTGTGTGAGATATGTGAGTGAGATGTGTGTGTGAATGAGATGTGTGTGGATGAGATGTGTGTGGATGAGATGTGTGTGAGTGTGTGAGATGTGTGTGAGATATGAGTGAGATGTGTGTGAGATATGAGTGAGATGTGTGTGAGATGTGTGTGAGTGTGAGATGTGTGTGAGATATGAGTGAGATGTGTGTGAGTGTGAGATGTGTGTGTGAGATGTGTGTGAGATATGAGTGAGATGTGTGTGAGTGAGATGTGTGTGAGATATGAGTGAGATATGAGTGAGATGTGTGTGAGTGTGAGATGTGTGTGTGAGATGTGTGTGAGATATGAGTGAGATGTGTGTGAGTGAGATGTGTGTGAGATATGAGTGAGATGTGTGTGAGATGTGTGTGAGATGTGTGTGAGTGTGAGATGTGTGTGTGAGATGTGTGTGAGTGTGAGATATGAGTGAGATGTGTGTGAGATGTGAGTGTGAGATGTGTGTGTGTGAGATGTGTGAGATGTGTGAGTGTGTGGATGAGATGTGTGTGTGTGAGATGTGTGAGATGTGTGAGTGTGTGGATGAGATGTGTGTGAGTGAGATGTGTGTGAGTGAGATGTGTGTGAGTGAGATGTGTGTGAGATATGAGTGAGATGTGTGTGAGTGTGAGATGTGTGTGTGTGAGATGTGTGAGATGTGTGAGTGTGTGGATGAGATGTGTGTGAGTGAGATGTGTGTGTGAGATGTGTGAGTGTGTGGATGAGATGTGTGTGAGAGATGTGTGTGTGAGATGTGTGTGAGATGTGTGTGAGTGAGATGTGTGTGTGTGATGTGTGTGAGATGTGTGTGTGTGTGAGATGTGTGTGAGATGTGTGAGTGAGATGTGTGAGTGATGTGTGAGTTGTGTGTGAGATGTGTGTGAGATGTGTGTGAGATGTGTGAGTGAGATGTGTGTGAGATGTGTGAGTGAGATGTGTGAGTGATGTGTGAGTTGTGTGTGAGATGTGTGTGAGATGTGTGTGAGATGTGTGAGTGAGATGTGTGTGAGATGTGTGAGTGAGATGTGTGAGTGATGTGTGAGTGTGTGTGAGATGTGTGTGAGATGTGTGAGATGTGTGAGTGAGATGTGTGAGTGTGAGTGTGTGATGGTGTGAGTGTCGAGGCCTTGTTGGTAGACTTGCGAGGTTCGTTCGCGTTCTGAGCAGGTCGGAGCGAGTCGCCAAACGCTCCCCCCTTGTCGAATCTCGTCTCTCGAAGGGGGGACGCGGTGGCGGGATTGTAACAACAACAAACAAACAAACAACAACAACAACAACAGCTGCATCTTTACCGTCTCTGTCCTCAATGAGGACATCCATGGTGGCCATTGCTGGCTGCTGGTGGGGTAACTGCGACCTCGCAATGAGCCGCTCTGCGATTGGTCCCCCACCTCATCCACCGCGAGTAAGACGGCCTGTGATTGGTCCCTGCTTTGCCCCCCCCCCCCCCATTGAAAAATTATAGTGCTCCGATTATTTTATAATTTTATTATTTAATATTATCACAATATTTTATTATATATTATTTTATTATATATTATTTTATATTATTACAATATTTGATTATATTATTTTATTCTATATTATTTTATATTATTACAATATTTTATAATATTTTATTATATAATATTATTTTATAATAGTATATTATTTTGTTATTTTATTATGTTTTATTTTTTATTATTTTATTATTATCCTTCTACGTGACTTTACCGAAAGAACCAAGAAGATGAGCTCCTGCTGCTGTTGTGGAGTGACTCATGCAGCCAGCTATGGCTGCAGGGTTTTGGTAGTACATGTTTATGCCGTTTATTGTGAAAATTCCGTGACAGTTCCTATGATCACTGTTTCATTGCTTTTGTGGCTTTATTTTGGTGATTTTCTAAAAGTTTTTCGGTTTGGCCATGTGCGTTTGTTGTAGTACAGAGTTAGACTGATGGCCTTAATCTAAGTTGTCTTGTGGTTGTTGTTGTTGTTTGACTTGCATCCCACTGGGATTTTTGCACACAGCGTTGGTGTACGGTGTTTTTTCTGCAATATTTTGCCGTCTTTTCTTGGATTTTCTGTTTGCACTCAGTCACATATTCACTTTAAGATGTTTTTTGTTCATGTTTTAGTTTTTTGTTTGTTGCGGTTAAACCCGATTCAAGAGCCGAATGGCTCACAGGGCTACACCTAATCAATGAACTTGACTCCTCGCCCCGCCCACCGACTTCTCGCCCCGCCCACCGACTTCTCGCCCCGCCCACCGACTCATCGCCCCGCCCACCGACTCATCGCCCCGCCCACCGACTCATCGCCCCGCCCACCGACTTCTCGCCCCGCCCACCGACTCATCGCCCCGCCCACCGACTTCTCGCCCCGCCCACCGACTCATCGCCCCGCCCTCCCCACCGACTTCTCGCCCCGCCCACCGACTTCTCGCCCCGCCCACCGACTCATCGCCCGCCCACCGACCTTTCGCCCCCGCCCACGCTTCTCGCCCCGCCCCCCGACTTCTCGCCCCGCCCACCGACTCTCGCCCCCGCCACCGACTTCTCGCCCCGCCCACCGACTCATCGCCCCGCCCACCGACTTCTCGCCCCGCCCACCGACTCATCGCCCCGCCCACCGACTTCTCGCCCGCCCACCGACTTCTCGCCCCGCCCACCGATCATCGCCCGCCCACCGACTTCTCGCCCCGCCCACCGCCTTCTCGCCGCCCACCGACTTCTCGCCCCCCCACCGCCTTCTCGCCCCGCCCACCAACTTCTCGCCCCGCCCACCGACTTCTCGCCCCGCCCACCGACTTCTCGCCCCCCACCGACTCATCGCCCCGCCCACCGACTTCTCGCCCCGCCCACCGACTTCTCGCCCCGCCCACCGACTCATCGCCCCGCCCACCGACTTCTCGCCCCGCCCACGATTCTCGCCCCGCCCCCGACTTCTCGCCCCGCCCACGACTCAGCGCCGCCCACCGACTTCTCGCCCCGCCCACCGACTCTCGCCCCGCCCCCAGACTCTCGCCCGCCCACCGACTTCTCGCCCCGCCCACCGACTCATCGCCCCGCCCACCGACTTTCGCCCCGCCCACCGCCTTCTCGCCCCGCCCACGACTTCTCGCCCCGCCCACCGACTCCTCGCCTCGCCCACCGATCATCGCCCCGCCCACCGACTTCTCGCCCCGCCCCGACTTCTCGCCCCGCCCACCGACTCATCGCCCCGCCCACCGACTTCTCGCCCCGCCCACCGACTTCTCGCCCCGCCCACCGACTCCTCGCCTCGCCCACGACTCATCGCCCCGCCCACCGACTTCTCGCCCGCCCCCGACTTCTCGCCCCGCCCACCGACTTCTCGCCCCGCCCACCGACTTCTCGCCCGCCCACCGACTCATCGCCCCGCCCACCGACTTCTCGCCCCGCCCACCGACTCATCGCCCCGCCCACCGACTTCTCGCCCCGCCCACCGATCATCGCCCCGCCCACCGACTTCTCGCCCGCCCACCGACTTCTCGCCCCGCCCACCGATTCTCGCCCCGCCCACGACTTATCGCCCCGCCCACCGACTTCTCGCCCGCCCACCGACTTCTCGCCCCGCCCACCGACTTCTCGCCCCGCCCACCGACTTCTCGCCCCGCCCACCGACTTCTCGCCCGCCCACCGACTCATCGCCCGCCCACCGACTCCTCGCCCCGCCCACCGATCATCGCCCCGCCCACCGACTTCTCGCCCCGCCCACCGACTTCTCGCCCCGCCCACCGACTCCTCGCCCCGCCCACCGACCTTTCGCCCCGCCCACCGACTCATCGCCCCGCCCACCGACTTCTCGCCCCGCCCACCGACTTCTCGCCCCGCCCACCGACTTCTCGCCCCGCCCACCGACTTCTCGCCCCGCCCACCGATCATCGCCCCGCCCACCGACTTCTCGCCCCGCCCACCGACTTCTCGGCCCCGCCCACCGACTCATCGCCCCGCCCACCGACTTCTCGCCCCGCCCACCGACTCCTCGCCCGCCCACCGATCTCGCCCCGCCCACCGACTTCTCGCCCCGCCCACCGACTTCTCGCCCCGCCCACCGACTCTCGCCCCGCCCACCGACTTCTCGCCCCGCCTACCGACTTATCGCCCGCCCACCGACTCATCGCCAGCCCACCGACTTATCGCCCCGCCCACCGACTCCTCGCCCCGCCCACCGACTTCTCGCCCGCCCACCGACTCCTCGCCCCGCCCACCGACTTCTCGCCCCGCCCACCGACCTCGCCCCGCCCACCGACTTCTCGCCCGCCCACCGACTTCTCGCCCCGCCCACCGACTCCTCGCCCCGCCCACCGACTTCTCGCCCCGTCCACCGACTTCTCGCCCGCCCACCGACTCCTCGCCCCGCCCACGACTTCTCGCCCCGCCACCGACTTCTCGCCCCGCCCACCGATTCTCGCCCCGCCCACCGACTCCTCGCCCCGCCACCGACTTCTCGCCCGCCCACCGACTTCTCGCCCCGCACCGACTCCTCGCCCCGCCCACCGACTTCTCGCCCCGCCCACCGATCATCGCCCCGCCCCACCGACTCATCGCCCCGCCCACCGACTTCTCGCCCCGCCCACCGACTCCTCGCCCCGCCCACCGACTCCTCGCCACCGCCCACCGACTTCTCGCCCCGCCCACCGACTCCTCGCCCCGCCACCGACTCATCGCCCCGCCCACCGACTTCTCGCCAGCCCGCCCACCGACTCCTCGCCCCGCCCAACCGACTCCCTCGCCCCGCCCACCGACTCCTCGCCCCGCCCACCGACTTCTCGCCCCGCCCACCGACTCATCGCCCCGCCCACCGACTTCTCCGCCCCGCCCACCGGACTCCTCTCCTCGCCCCGCCGCACCGACGTTCTCGCCCCGCCCACCGACTTCTCGCACCCGCCCCACCGACTCCTCTCCGCCGCCCACCGACTCATCGACCCCGCCCACCGACTCATCGCCCCGCCCCCGACTCATCCGCACCCGCCCACCGACTTCTCGCCCCGCCCACCGACTTCTCGCCCCGCCCACAGCGACTTCTCGCCCCGCCCCACCGACTTCTCGCCCCGCCCACCGACTCATCGCCCCGCCCACCGACTTCCTCGCCCCGCCCACCGACTGCCTCGCCCCGCCCACCGACTTCTCGCCCGCCCACGACTTCTCGCCCCGCCCACCGACTCATCGCCCCGCCCACCGACTTCTCGCCCCGCCCACCGACTCATCGCCCCGCCCACCGACTCCTCGCCCCGCCCACCGACTTCTCGCCCCGCCCACCGACTCCTCGCCCCGCCCACGACTTCTCGCCCCGCCCACCGACTTATCGCCCCGCCCACCGACTCATCGCCCCGCCCACCGACTCATCGCCCCGCCCACCGACTTCTCGCCCCGCCCACCGACTTCTCGGCCCCGCCCACCGACTCATCGCCCCGCCCACCGACTTTCGCCCCGCCCACCGACTCATCGCCCGCCACCGACTTCTCGGCCCCGCCCACCGATCATCGCCCCGCCCACCGACTCTCGCCCCGCCCACCGACTCATCGCCCGCCCCACCGACTCATCGCCCGCCCACCGACTCATCGCCCCGCCCACCGACTCATCGCCCGCCCACCGACTCATCGCCGCCCACCGACTCATCGCCCCGCCCACCGACTTCTCGCCCCGCCCACCGACTTCTCGGCCCGCCCACCGACTCATCGCCCCGCCCACCGACTTCTCGCCCCGCCCACCGACTCATCGCCCCGCCCACCGACTTCTCGCCCCGCCCACCGACTTCTCGCCCGCCCACCGACTTCTCGCCCCGCCCACCGACTCATCGCCCCGCCCACCGACTTCTCGCCCCGCCCACCGACTTCTCGGCCCCGCCCACCGACTCATCGCCCCGCCCACCGACTTCTCGCCCCGCCCACCGACTTCTCGCCCCGCCCACCGACTCATCGCCCCGCCCACCGACTCATCGCCCCGCCCACCGACTCATCGCCCTGCCCACCGACTCATCGCCCCGCCCACCGACTCATCGCCCCGCCCACCGACTCATCGCCCCGCCCACCGACTCATCGCCCCGCCCACCGACTCATCGCCCCGCCCACCGACTCATCGCCCCGCCCACCGACTCATCGCCCCGCCCACCGACTTCTCGCCCCGCCCACCGACTCATCGCCCCGCCCACCGACTCATCGCCCCGCCCACCGACTTCTCGCCCCGCCCACCGACTCATCGCCCCGCCCACCGACTTCTCGCCCCGCCCACCTACTCCCCGCCCCGCCCACCGACTTCTCGCCCCGCCCACCGACTCATCGCCCCGCCCACCGACTCATCGCCCCGCCCACCGATCATCGCCCCGCCCACCGACTCATCGCCCCGCC